GACTTCTCCAGATTCTCCTTGGAGTGACTTGCGGGACTCTGGGACCCTCCTGGGACCCTCCCAAGCGGGGTCCCGGGAGCAGCCGCTCGAGGCAGATGTGGCCGGCTGGGTCTGGGGTGGGGAGCACCTGGGACTTCAGGGCACTATTTACTTTTCTAAAAAAAAAATTTGATTTTCTTTAAAAAAAAAAAAAGTTTTTTTTTAATTGCAGTAGATACACAGCTACAAAATTGTTCGTGATTGGGTTTCAGTCCTATAATGTTCCAACACCCATCCCTTCACCACTGCACATTTCCCACCATCAATGTCCCCAGCTTCCTTCCCCTACCCCGCCCCCCCATGGCAGCAGGCACTTTTCTTCTCTCTCTCTCTCTCTCTCTCTCTCTCTCTCTCTCTCTCTCTCTCTCTCTCTCTCTCTTTTTGCTTTTTGGGTCACACCTGGCAATGCACAGGGGTTCCTCCTGGCTCTGCACTCAGGAATCACCCCTGGCGGTGCTCAGGGGACCCCGTGGGATGCTGGGAATCGAACCCGGGTCGGCTGCGTGCAAGGCAAACGCCCTCCCCGCTGTGCTATTGCTCCAGCCCCCCCTCTGTCTCTCTGCCTCTGTCTCTGTCTCTGTCTCTCTCCTTTTGGGTCTTGGATGGAACCCGGGTCGGCCACGTGCAAGGCAAATGCCCCTATCTGCAATACAGATACTGAAAGGTTATCAGGTATATCCCTTACCTACTTTCAACACTTAGTTCCTGTCCAAAACACAGGGCACTTTTTAAAGCCTGTTTAATGACTGAATAATCAGCCCCTGGGTGGTGTCAACTCGCGGCAGGAACGCTGCGCTTTGAAATTGTTCTCCAACTAGTGGGTCCAACCCTCTGTCCTTCCCCGTGACTTCGGGCCAATGGCATTTCTCATCAACTAGATCCCCCAGATGAAACCATATACGCTGACGGGCCACAGCGACAGTGCAGCAGACAGGGCGCTCGCCTTGCACGCAGCCGGCCAGGCTCAATCCCCAGCACCCCATAAGGTCCCCTGAACCCCGCCCCAGGACGGATGGCTGAGCACTGCCGGGTGTGGCCCAAACCCCCACCACACACTGACTTCCTATCATCGTGGCATCCATGCAACACACGTTTAATATATCCTGGAGGGAGCGGGGAAGCGTCACACCCGCAGTCCCTGGAGACCAAGTGAAGCCACGACTCAACCCCAGAGCAAAGCAGGTGCTCATCCTGTTGTGCTCTGACTCCATTAACAAATTCTGGTGAGATTAGTAACTTTTTTTTTTTTGGCTTTTTGGGTCACACCCCATGATGCTCAGGGATTACTCCTGACTCTGCACCCAGGAACTACTCCTGGCAGTGCTCAGAGTACCATATGGGATGCCAGGTATCGGCCCCAGGCAAGGCAAATGCCCTACCCGCTGTATTATTGCTACAGCTCTAAATTCATTATTTATTTATTTATTTGTTTTTGCTTTTTGGGTCACACCCAGCAATGCTCAGGGGTTACTCCTGGCTCTGCACTCAGGAATTACTCCTGGGGGCTCAGGGGACCATGTGGGATGCTGGGATTCGAACCTAGGTCAGCCGCATGCAAGGCGAATGCCCTACCTGTTGTGCTATCCAGCCCCATGAAATTCATTACTCTAAAAGACCTTAACTCTCCCACCTCCCATCCAACCGCCAAAACACACACACACACACACACACACACACACACACACACACACACGTCTCTTCTTAATAGATTTGCTTTCTAATAATCTCTAAAGCATTGATATTTTGGTTTTGGGGTCGCACCTGCCCAGGGTTACTCTAGTCTCTGTGCTCAAGCTTTACTCCTGGCAGGGCTCTGGGGACCTTATGGGAGGCAGGGGATCAAACCTGGTTGGCTGCCTGCAAGGCAAGTGCCCTCCCCACTGTACTCTGTCTCCAGCCCCAAGGCATTGGTCTTTTCTAGAAGCTCAACGGAAGGCTTGAAACCAGTCATTCATAAATTTTTCCTACTCAACACGAGACTGTTCATAGAAAAATTACTCTCCAAGCACATCTTAGATTGAGAAAGCCACAGGGATCAAGCTAGCCCGTTCCCCACGGAAAGAGCTGACCCTTACGATCCCTTTTGTGAAGGAAAAAAAAAAAAGACACTTTCTAAAACGGCCCACGTGGGGCAGGGAAGATGGTTCAAAGAGCCAGGGCACAGGTACCTCCGTCCCTGGCAATGAAGTCCCCCAGCACCGCCACTTGTGTCCTGTTTGCTCCCTCAAACAGGAAAGTCCACGTCCTCTCCCGTAACAGTTCGGCCGCTTTCTGGCAGGGGCCCGGCAATCTTTGTTTTAGTCACTCGAGGTGGTTGTGGAGAAGCTTGTCGCGTGCTCACAACTTACCCAAGGCCCTTCTGTCACTCCAGGGGACAGGAGGACACGGAAATGGACACCTGAGGCTGCAGAGTACTGACCCGCAGGGCTGTCCACGTCCTCTCCCGTAACAGTTCGGCCGCTTTCTGGCAGGGGCCCGGCAATCTTCGTTTTAGTCACTCGAGGTGGTTGTGGAGAAGCTTGTCGCGTGCTCACAACTTACCCAAGGCCCTTCTGTCACTCCAGGGGACAGGAGGACACGGAAACGGACACCCGAGGCTGCAGAGTACTGACCCGCAGGGCTGCTCCACTCACCGACACTCGCGCGCCAGGCGTCCCTCCAAAACCGGTTTCCTTTCAGCCTCGATGACCCAGCAGGTGCCTGGTGGTGTGGGGCGAAGGTCGGGCCAGGAAGGGCCACAGGCACCCCACACCAGGGCCCTCCAGGGAGCCCCAGGCCCTGGGAAGGGTGGAGAGGGGAGGCCTGACACCGGCCTCGGACGTCAGGTCTGTGCCCTGACCTGGGCACCAGGAGCTGACGCAGGCCCCGGGAAGCCAATCGGAAGACATGGTCTGGTCACAGAGGGACCCTGGCAGGCTCCAGCCTGAAGGAACCCACGTGTGAGGTGGCTAGATTCCTATCAGGAGCAGATCGGGGCTGGGATGGGATTAATTGCTTTACAACCCAGGTCTCCGCCACTCTGCATAACCGACTTCCTGGGGCGACCGTTTTCCTCAGTCCCCAGCAGAGGCTGCCTTGGCCTGAGATCAGAAACGGGAGCCAGAACCGGTCCCCCCAACCCCCTGTGTGTTGCTGTCACAGCTGGAAGGTACTTGGGACCGCCTAGATCAGAGCGGGGAACACCACTGCTTTGAAGACAGGGTGCTTTTTAGCTTGGGAAGGGAGGCCCAAGCAGTGCTCAGGAGGGCTAAAGGCCCTTCTGGCAGTGCTCGGCCACCCAGACCAGTTCCGTGGTGCCGTGCCGAGGCCCAAGGATGCAGCTCAGCCCTATGGTGTGGGGTTCCCCGGGTCCCCCAGTTCCCCGCAGTGCTAGGGAGCCAAGTCCACACCCGATGATGCTGGGAACCACAGTATCAGAGATGGACCGGGGCCGGCTGTGTCCCTGAGCCCCTTGCCGACACGAGGGTCCGTCTCGAGACTTCATGACTCATGGAATTATCACCTTCTCACCTGTCATTTGTGGAGAAGGTTGGGGTCACACCCAGTCGTGCCAAAGGGCTGCTCAGGGCAAGTCAAGTGGTTCCAGGAGGGCGGCTGGGGGCGGGGGGGGGGGGGGGGGGGTGTCCTTAAACCTGGCTCCTCCAGCAAAGCTTGCCCTCAGTCCCGAGAGCTGTGCGGGCATGTCCTTTGAGGGGACACAGCCAGTGTGGGGCGCAGTCCCAGTACTGGGTGGAGAGACCATCTCTCAGAGTAGATGACAATGACAGCCCCAGACTTGGTCCCTGGCCCTCTGGGGACTTAGGTGACTTTTTTTTTGGGTCACACCCAGCGATGCACAGTGGCCACTCCTGGCTCTACACTCAGAAATTACCCCTGGCGGTGCTCAGGGGACCATATGGGATGCTGGGAATCGAACCCAGGTCGGCCGCATGCAAGGAAAACACCCTATCTGCTGCTGTGCTATCAATCCAGTCCCTAGGTGGCTTTTTAAGGCTGGGCACTGGCCCGTAAGACCCTGCTCTGCTCCTTAATCTCTCAAGTTCAATCAATACAGGACACCCCCCAAAACTCTATCCCTTGCTTTTAGATTTGTGGTGGCCCTGAGCTCTTTCCTCTAAAGCCCCTGTCCCTCACCTCCCAGGAATCAGGGGATCCCTTGCCATGCTTAAGAGAACCCCAAAGACAAGAGGCAAGAGAAAAAGCATCTTGGAACCAAAATGACCGAGTACAGCAGGCAAGGTGTTTGCCTTGCACGTGGCCGACCTGGCCCAATTCCCAGCACCCTATATGGTCCCAAGTCTGGCAGGAGGATCCCCGAGCAGAACCAGGACACCCTGTGCATCACCAGGTGTGGCCAAAAGACCAGGGAAATAACCATCTTTGTCCTCTTCCGGTGTATGAAAGCCTGTCAGCTGGTAGCAAACTCTAGGGTCCAAATCCATTTTCCACCACGTCAGCTCCCAAGCCCCCTTCCCAGACAGGGGACCCCGGGGTCTTCTCAGTGCCAAGGCCTTGGACCTCAGGTCCAGGTTCCTGGGGAGCCCAGAGCTTCCCACTGCCCCCAACTGCCCCAGACTTGCCAGGACACACTGCCACAGTGGGCATGCCGATCTCAAGGCAAATTTCTTAGCCCAAAGCAACCCTCTAGGGTGACAGGAACCCTGGGGTGCTGCTTGCACCCCCACAGCCGTCCACTCGGTGCAGCTCTACCAACTGCCCCACAAGTCCTCCTGGAACCCGGCCAGGGAGGACCCTCCTGCCCAGAGGGTCCCCTGTGGGTGCGTGAGAGGCTGGGGGAGGGGGAGTGTCCTCTTTGCAGGTGCCAAGGGGCTGGGATGGAGGCCCAGACAGACAGAACCTTCCACAACCTTCCCACGCCCCCTTGGCTCCCCCTTCCCCGGGCGAGCAGGATCTTCAGCGAACACAAACCCCTACTGGGCAAACTCTTAACTTTTTCAACAATCTTTATTACAAAATCCTGGCCAGCAAACAGGGAACCCAGAAAGAAGCCTTTCTGGCATGGAGGCTGAAACACAGAATCAAGATTCTCTTCAAGGACTGAAAACACAGCTAAACACATCTGCCTAGGTTTCACAAAAGCAAAATTCTCCAGGGGGAAAAAAAAAGAAATCCCCAAACCCACCACCAAAATCCCAAAGTGACTTTAGTCCATAAAACAAAATAAAACCAAACCAAAGAAACAGTGGCAGTTCACGCTGCCTTAAAAATCCCGAACACGGCACACCTAGAAGGCCCTTTCCCGGGAAGGAGCAAGCCTCTCTCCCGGCCGGCCGGCACCCACCGACCGGCCTCAGGCTCCCTCAACACAGGGCCAGGCCCAGGTGCCCGGCTCCTAGCAGCAACTCTGCCCTCTGCCAGCGGGCGGCAAGCAGTGACCATGTCATCTCGTCTCCGGCCCCGGTGCAGACAGAAGTGGTGGCAAGAAAGTCTCGTCATCTTCCTCTGCTCGGCGAAATAGTGCAAGGCCCGCGTACCCGGGCTCCAGGTTGCTTTCTGGAAACTTCTTCCCATCAGCCGAGGGCTTCAGCACGACTGGGGAAACCAGTGTTTTTCCCCCCCTTTTCCTTCAACCCAACTTCCCAAGAGACAGACACTTGAACAGTAGCTTCAATAACATCCCCAGGGCGATGCCCCCATGGTGCCGGCCACAGCGTGGTCACAGTGCTTTCCAGTCAATGGGCTCCTTGCCAGACTTCCGCAGTAGCTCGTTGGCTTTCGAGAAATGCCTGCACCCGAAGAAACCCCGGTACACCGACAGCGGGGACGGGTGGGCCGTCTGCAGCACGTGGTGCCGCTTCTGGAAGACAAGAATGAGGACCCGTGACTGTCCGGCCTCCGGTCCTCAGCGGGGCGAGCCCCCGCCCCCCACACCAGCATTCCTACGAAGTGCAATGCCCCAGCCGCCCCCATCCTGGTGGACACCACGGAGACCCCGATGGCCCCCCAGGTCTGCTGGGCGCCGAGCACACTTGTGGAAGGCTATCCTCTGCCTTCAGCTCATAGGCCTCTGCCTTTAGCGGTGGACCAGCCGGGCAGCTGCCAGTGCCTGTATTCTTTAAAAGGTAAAGGCCCTCCCGTTGATCGTCGATTTGCTCGAGCGGGCCCAGTAACGTCTCCATTGGAGACTTTGTTGTTACTGTGTCTGGCATATCGAATACTCTCGGTAGCTTGCCGGGCTCTCCGAGAGGGGCGGAGGAATCGAACTCGGGTCGGCCATGTTGGCCGCTTGTAAGGCGAACGCCCTACCCGCTGTGCTATCGCTCCAGCCCTTCTGTATTCTTTAATTTTTTTAAAAATTTTTTTGCTTTTTTGGTCACACCCAGCAATGCTCAGGAGTTACTCCTGGCTCATGCACTCAGGAATTCCTCCTGGCAGTGCTTGGGGGACCATATGGGATGCCGGGGATCGAACCTGAGTCGGCCGCGTGCAAGGCAAACGCCCTGCCCGCTGTGCTATCACTCCAGTCCCAGTGCCTGTACTTGTAGCGCTGACGGTTTGGGTATGACTCAGCCGCCCGTGAAAGGAGCGCTGGGGTGCAGCCACACTCTTGAACCCCAGCCCCCCTTCTGGGAGTGGAGACCCGCACCAGGAAACAGGTGTGGCAGCACGGCTCTCCACAGGCAGAACCAAACATCTGCTCCAGCTCTATGAACTGTAAGGTACTGAGCAAGGCTGTGGATGGGCCCCTTGTTTTTTTAAACTTTTTAAAATTTTTTGGGTCACACCCGGCGATGCACAGGACTTACTCCTGGCTCTGCACTCAGGAACTGCCCCTGGCAGTACTCGGGGGACCCTATGGGATGCTGGGAATCGAACCCGGGTCGGCCACATGCAAGGCAAACACCTACCTGCTGTGCTATTGCTCCAGCCCGTTTTTTTTTTTTTTTTTTTTTGCTATATCTGATGGTGCTGAGGGTTGGTTCAGGGGACCACAGTGTGAGGCTGGGGGTGGGAGGGGTGGGGGGAGGGTGTCGAGCCTGGTTCGGCTGTGTGTGTGGGCAGGCGCCTTCGCTCTGCGCTCTCTGGCCCTCCCCCTCCCTTTCTCCTTTCGGTACTGGCCACAACTGCTTCTCAACGCGTCCCTGCCTTCAGGAGGCAGGAGCAATGGTCGGGACTGAAGCCAGGCTTCCCAGAGCGGAGGGGGCAGGTCCCGGGGCTGCACTCAGCCGCACGGACACGACTAAGCTGCCCCCACGTGGCGTTTCCTTTCCACCAGCAACCTGGGAATATCCGGGCCAGGCAGGCGAAGTGACCGACAAGTCCGCTGGCTGTGTCCAGAGAGACACAGAACAGGGGTTGAGGCTGATCCCCGGCATGCAGCCCACTCGAGTTCGATCGTGGCTGGACACAGCCCCAGAGACGCCTGCGCCTGCCGGGCACTGCCTCCCCGACAACGCCGGCCCCACATGCTGACATCCGGCCTGGCACACAGGAGGCCCCTGGGCCTGGAGCTGTGCTGAGCCCGGGGCCCAGTGTGAAGTGCTGAAACCAGCCACCCACCAGTGAACCAACCGGTCCAAACCTACCCGATCGATGGCACTGCCCTTCTTCTGGGCATAGGAGCCCCAGAGCAAGAAGACGAGGCCGCTGGAGTTCTGGTTCAGCCAGGACACGACGGCATCGGTGAACTGCTCCCACCCACGCTCTTTGTGGGAAGTGGGCTGGTGGGCCCGGACGGTGAGCACGGCGTTGAGGAGGAGAACACCTGCGCACACCCCGGAGAAAGAGGCTGGAGGCGGACTGACGTGGGCCAGTTCCCCGCCGGCAGCTGGGGGCGGGGTTCTGCCGGTGACAAGAGTCACACCGTCCAGTGATCTGCAATCAGGCCTCCGGGCCGAGTTTGTGACGGCAGCGAACACGCCGTCAGAGCCCCTTCTCAGAGAGAACCATTAAAAAAAGAAAACCCAACCCCCCAAAGATCGAGGCGATCCCAGGACACGGAGCGGCAGGCGAGGCGCTTCGCCTTGGCATGCTGCCAACCGCGGGTCCATCCCCGGCAGCGGCCAGGGTCCCCCGAGCAGCACTGCCCGAGCCCCATCCACCGCCCCCCCGCCCCCCCGAGGCAGGTCCCCTTCACAACGCCCAAGCTCCACCACTCAGTGGGAACACGGACGACGACGACGACAGGGAACAGGCTCCGCTTTCAAAGAGCCAGGACCCCCGGAAAGCAAGCCGCCCTGGGGTCTGGGCGTCTTCCACTCCCACCCACCCACCCACCCAGCCCGACTCTCTCCTGCCGACGCAGGCCAGGAGAGCCCAGACTGGCCCGGCCGTGGCTGGTTTACCTTGTTTAGCCCACCCGGTTAAATCTCCATGACCAGGATGAACAAAACCATCTATGTCGGTAGACAGCTCCTTAAAAATGTTTTCCAGGCTGAAACGAAAGCCAGCAGGAAAAGAAACCCCACCAGCTCGGGGTCATGCACCGTCCTAGGAGGTAAGCCACACCCTACCCCGGCAGGGACCCAGGCAGCCCGCGCTTCAGTGGACATGGGGCCCCTCTCCCAGAGACCCAGCCCCACCCCAGGGCCGTGCCAGACCAAGGAGTCGGCTCCAGACGCTAGTCAACGCTCCCCGCTCCCCCCACCCCCAACCACACGCTCATGTCTCGTCGCGGCTGGGTGGCAACCGGCTTCCGAAAGCAATCACAGCGATCGCGTCTGGCCCGGGCCCAGGGCGCTGCCGTACCTGGGCGGAGGAGGAACAGGCCTTTGAACGCTGAAGCAGAGCCCGTGCGCCTGATTGGGCCCGTGATAAGGATCCTGCCCCAGGATGACAACTTTCACCTGCAAACGCCGGCAGGTGCGGGGTTAGCGGCCAGGCGGGCACGCCGTGACCCCCGCAAAGGGGGCCGAGGAGGCAGGCCCGGCCGCTCCCCACAACGGAGAGAGAGACGCGGCGGCCTTGCCCGGCTGCCCTTCCCACCCCTCGGCCTTGCCCGGCTGCCCTTCCCACCCCTCGCCGCTGTGTGGCCCCCACCCCACCTCCCCCAACGCCCCGTGCAGGCGGGAAACAAGGTCAGAACAACTGAGCAAGGTCATTCCCTGTCGCTCTCAGAACCTAACTCTGCGCTTGAAACCGTCCAGCCACCCAGAAACTGTGGCCACCTACATCCTGGTCCTTCCCGGACCATAACAACCCCCTGTGAAACTGGGGAGGTGGGGGGAAGGGTCAGGTTCACCCCGTAACTGCTTCCCATGTCAGACATTGAGCGTCTTTCATGCCAACAGAGCCCAATCACTAGTGAGCACTCGGCTTACTGCCCTACTTTATTTTTTTAATTTTCTTTTTGGGTCACACCCGGAGATGCACAGGGGTCACTCCTGGCTCATGCACTCAGAAATTACTCCTGGCGGTGCTCGGGGGACCCTATGGGATGCTGGGAATTGAACCTGGGTTGGCCGCGTGCAAGGCAAATGCCCTCCCCGCTGGGCTATTGCTCCAGCCCCTATCCTGTCACTCTCACTCACGCCTACGCAGAGGTAGAGTTGCTGGTCAAAGGAAAGATGTGTCTCATTTCAAACTAGCTCTGGAGGCATTGAAACAGTTCAAACCCCCCACCAGAGGGTCAGAGAGTCCAGTGGGAGGCCGTCTGTTTGCCTTGCAGGCAGTCGACCCAGGCTCGCTCCCCAGGAACCCACAGAGTCCCCAAGCACCGCGCAGCAGGAGTGCGATTCCTGAGTGCAGAGCTAGGAGCAACCCCTGAGCAGTGCTGGCTGGCCGTGCCCCCTGCCCCCAAACCAAACCTTCCCACCCAAAGGGTGCTGTTTTCCCTTTAGGGGTGAAAGTGGAAAAGATTGAGGTCAGGGCAAAGGGCCAAGGGAGCAGGTGAAAGATTAGTGCTGGGGCTGGAGTAATAGCAGAGCGGGGAGGGCGTTTCCCATGCACGCGGCTGACCCCGGATCAATTCCCAGCACCCCATAGCACGTCCCCAGAGCACTGCCAGGAGCAATTCCCGAGTGCATGAGCCAGGAGGAACCCCTGAGCATCACCAGGTGTGGACCCCCCAAAAAAAGAAATGGGGTGCTGTAACCCGCCTACCTCCTCCTGCCCCCTCGCCCGGTGCTGTCCGAGAATCTTCGTCCACACCGACACTCTCCTCCCCAGCCCCGTGACTGAAGCCTTCTCAGACCCACACGGTCCCCTGCACCTCCCTGAGGGAAGCTTGGGCTCCTCTGCTCACCCCCTGGACGAATCACTCAGCCTCCCTGGGCCACTCCATGCCCTGGAGGCTGGCCGCTACCTCTTTCTTGCCCTCTATTTACGGGATTCACAGCAGGGCATGCTACTCAAACCAGGCGCCGAGCATCGCTGGGCCTCGTGGGGCTGAGTTCTTGGAACTTCAGAGACAGGAGCTATATTCAGCCCGGACTAAAATAAAAACGGCCAAGCCAGCTGCTAAGCATGAGGTTGGGGGGAGGGGGGGGGAGAGGCGGCCGTAAGGAGGCGGCTTAGACGCCCACGGAACTCCCTGACCAGGCACACGCGTTACACCACAGGAGTAACGCGTGTGCTTACAAAACGGAGAGTGGGAAAAAGGCTAAGAACAAACTACCGACATCGGTGTCACCCAGGACTGGACGCAGGAACGGATCCAGGCGGGAGAACCCAAGCACAGGCTTCAGGAGCGCCTGGAGAGCTTCAGACAGCAGCGAGGGGACGCCAGCCTGCCAACAGGGCAGCCGGCAGGGGGACGCGGCACGTTCTTGAGACGTAAAAGTTCATCCGGGGACTGGAGCGATAGCCCAGCGGGGAGGGCGTTTGCCTTGCACACGGCCGACCCGGGTTCGATCCCCAGCATCCCATAGGGTCCCCCGAGCACCGCCAGGACTCATTCCTGAGTGCAGAGCCAGGAGGAACCCCTGTGCATGGCCGGGTGTGCCCCCTCACCAAAACAAACAAACAAAAAGAAACAAACGCTATCTGATTCCCACCCCCCCCTTTAAGGTTTTTGGCCCACATCCTGCAGGGGGGTCAGGGGACCACATGGGGTGTTGCGGATAACAACCGGGTCAGCCACCCCAAGGGGCAGAATCCCTCCGGCCCAGATTCCCACCTTCTGACACCATGACCCCCCTCCCCCCACCAACACTTACATCTCTGATGTCACACATCTGGGTCCAGGTGAAGACTTGGTGGGGGGGTGGGTACACAGTGTGATGTTTTCTTTCTTCCGCCACGAATCCCATGAGCTGACTCAGAGATAAAGGAGCTTTCAGGTCAGACACGGAAGAACTCCCTGAGGCATTTCCAGCAATTCCTTACTTTGGGGGGGGGGCGGGGGCAAGGGGCTGGAGCGATAGCACAGCGGGGAGGGCGTTTGCCTGGCACGCAGCCGACCCAGGTTCGATCCCCAGCATCCCACAGTATCCCCGGAGCACCGCCAGGAGTAACTCCTGAGTGCATGAGCCAGGAGGAAGCCCTGTGCATGGCCGGGTGTGACCCAAAGAGCAAAGAAAAAAAAAAAAAGGGGGGGGCAAACGCCGTGCTTTAACTCATCAGAAAAACAACGAATTAAAAAAAAAAAGGGGGGGGCTGGAGAAGAGATAGCACAGCGGGTAGAGCGTTTGCCTTGCACACGACCGACCCGGGTTCGACTCCCAGCATCCCAGAGGGTCCCCTGACCGCCAAGAGTGACTCCTGGGTGCAGAGCCAGGAGGGACCCGCGTGCATGGCCGGGCGTGACCCAAAAAGCAAAAAAAAATCAAAGCGAGGCAGCTCCTCCTCCCCCTGCCCCTGTCCCCGCCTTAGGACAGGGCGGGGCCGAGCGGCTCCGGCCCGACCGCGCTCGCAGGGAGCAGGCGCACAGCGCCGCGGGGGTTCCGGGCCGGGGGCCCGATCGATCGCTCGGAACCGCGCGCTGCCCGGGAGCCCCGGGCCGGAGGTAGGCGGGGGCCCGCACCCTGCACCCTGCACCCTGCACGCGCCCGCGAGGGGGACCCGCCCGCACCCTGCACGCGCCCGCGAGGGGGACCCGCCCGCACCCTGCACGCGCCCGCGAGGGGGACCGCCCGGCCCTGCCCGCGCCCCGGGGACCCACCTGGGCGAAGTAGGGCTTCCCGAACTCGGCGCCCAGCCGCTGCCTCCAGCTGTCGCCCAGGCCGGGGGGCGCGCGGCGGGCGGCGAGCCGGAGCAGCGCGGCCGCCTTGTTCCTCCGCATGCGGCCCAGCTGCTCGGCGCTCAGCGGCGGCTCCTCGCGCGGCCTCTTGGCGGGCGGGGCCTGGCGGGGGGCGAGCGCGCGGCTCAGCAGCAGCCGCCCCCCGCCCGCCAGGCGCCGGGGGCCCAGCAGGCCCATGGCCCGTCCGGCAGCGGCGCGCGGGGCCCGCGGAACCGCGACCGGGGCCGCCGCGCCCCGCCGCGCCCCGCCCCGCGCGCCCACGCGGCCTTTTCGCGCCAAACACCAGCGCCGGCCCCGCCCCCGCGCCGCTGATTGGCCGCCGGCGCGCGCGCGCCCGTCCCCATTGGCCGCCGGCGCGCGCGCGCCCGTCCCCATTGGCCGCCTCGCGGAGCGCGGCCGCCGCACCGACCCGAACGCGCGGAGGCCGCGAACCCGGCGCGCCGGGCGCCGCCGGGGGGTCCCGCGCGGGGGTCGCGCCGGGCCCCGCTCCCTCCCGCGGGGGGCTCCCTCCCGGCGGCGTCCCCCGCCGCCTCTCACCTGCGCGTCCCGCTCCTCCGCCGCCGCTACGGCCACGGCCACGGCCACGCCGAGGCCCGGGCCCGCGAGGTCGGGGCTGCGCGCGCGCCGCCGGCCCGCGGGGCTCGGGGAGAAGAAGGAGTCGAGGGTCTTCTGGCCGATCATCGCGGCGCCCACCGCCCCGCCGCGCGCCCGCCGCCCGCCGAGGGATTGGCGCCAAGCGCCCGCGCATGCTCCGAGCCGCGCCGGGGTGGGCGGGGGGCGGCCGGGGCCGGTGCGCGTGCGCGGGCGGGCGGGGCCCCTCCAGGCCGGTGGTCCTCAGGGCGTTTGGCCTTCTTGGGTTTCTTTTTCTGCTTTGGGACCACCCCCCCGAGAAGTTCAACACTCTCTAAAGAACACTTTTGCACTGTTTTTTGGGGGTCCCTCCCGGTTCCACACTCGGGAGTTACCCCTGGCGGGGCTCAGGGGACCAAATGGGATGCTGGGAATCGAACCCGGGTGGGCCGCATGCAAGGCAAGTGCCCTACCCGCTGTGCTATCACTCCAGCCCCGATCTGCACTTTTTTAAAGAACATTTGTGTTACTAGAGGGCCCTCCCCGGCGGTGCTCAGGGCTTACTCTTGGCTCAGTGCTCATCGATCGCTCCTGGCAGTGAGGATAATAGGGTGTGCCCCGGATTGAATCCCTTCCACCCTGGTGAAAGGCAAGCGCCCCTGCAGTTCACAACAAGCCCAAATCTGGAAACACCCCAAGTATCCGAAAGTGAGATGCTGTGGGCCAGGTACTCAAAATCCTACTCGGCCGATAAGATGAAATCATGTGATTGGCAGCTATGACATAGAGGGACCTGGAGGGTATCATGCTTAGTGGAACTGATGTCAGTGGGCCCCAGGGTGGCTCAAGTGAAGTGGGGAGAAAGACGTCCACTTTCTCCCTGTCTGCCTCTGCCGCCCGGGACTCAGTTCCTGGGTTTTTGTCTCACCTCACAGAAAAGAGTTTCAGGACTAGACGAGCAAGGAAGGAAAACAGATTTAATTTGGAGGGTTTTTTTTGAAGGTGGGGAGGGAGAGAGGGAGAGAGAGAGAACCCGGACTTCTCAAGGGCGCAGAGAGCCCCTACACACATCCATCCCAGCATTAGACTCGAAAGCATGAAAGGACACGTGTCAAGAGGGGAGTTGCAGCTCCTGGGCTCGGCAGCCTTTGTTGAAGGTGGCCTTTCTAGGGTTTCTCCCACCTGCCCTCACCTGGGGCTTCCACCTAGGTCAAAGTCTGTTGCTAAGGAGTTTGTCGGGGGAGGGGCTTGGGAGTGGTGCTGGTCGTCTTGGAAATTCCTTCCCTGGTCTTTTGTTTCTGCGGGAGCTTCTTGGGTCTGTGGCTGTGCAGATAGGTGAGGGTCTTTCCAGGCCTTCGTGCCTGTTTTTCCTGTTTTCTGTCAGGTCGGCTTTTGCCTTTGCCTAGGGATGGAGCCTTCCCTCTCCTGCCTACACCAAAATGAATCAGGAGGATGACACAGGGTGATCTGCTCATGTGCAGGATATAAAGAAAAAACATCGGACAGGAATGACAATTGTCAAAGGCAACAGAAAATGAGAACCGCTCTTTAGTGGGAAGCCTTCCATGAGGGAGAGAAGGGGGACGGGCAGTGGACTCCGTGGCGTATGCTGCCGGGTGGTGTAATGCACCAGATCCTACCATTAATGGTTTTGTAAACCATGGAGAATTTAAAAAAAAAAAAGGAGAAAAGGAGGACAATGGTACCAGCAACAAGGAAAACGTTAAAAAGCGTTAGAGGCCAGATGCAAAAGATGATTGGTATATTGCATGGTTTTACGGAGAAGAAATTCTGGAAAAGGCAAAATGATAGGGGCTGGAGCAATAGCACAGCAGGTAGGGCGTTTGCCTTGCACGTGGCCGACCCGGGTTCGAATCTCAGCATCCCATATGGTCCCCTGAGCTCCGCCAGGAGTAATTCCTGAATGCAGAGCCAGGAGGAACCCCTGAGCATCGCCTGGTGTGACCCAAAAAGCAAAAAAAAAAAAAAAAAAAAAAGCAAAATGATCAAGACAAAGAGACATTGGTAGTTATGGAGGACAGTAGGAGGGTGCAACTTGGAGGAACTTTGTGGGTTCTATAGAACCTTTAGGCCCTGTGTGCGCTGGGGACGTTAGTCAAACTGCAGACTGGACAGTGAAAAGGTTGAAAGCAAAGCCCGGCTCCACGGAAGGGGTCAGAGCACAAAACATGAGGAGCGAATATGGAACCGCCTGCGAGTCTCGAGCATGCAACCACTTGTCATAGGTTCTCAGCTTTACCAAAAAAAACCTTAACTGGGGTGGAAGGGGAGTCAAGTGGGGGGGGCACACCTTGGGATTCTGGGGATGGAGATGGGGGACAGCCCCAGGCCCATGTTAGGATCCATGTGGTGCCCGGTGCCAGGGACGGTGCCCGCCCCGCGCTCTTGCACGCACCTGCCCCAGCCCTCAGGGCCAGGGTTGTGCCGCTCCTCCTCGCTGGACAGGTGAGGGGCGTGGAGCAGAGCCAGGTGAAGTGGCCCGCGGGAGTCCCACAGCTCAGCGGAGGAGACGGGCCTGAGAGCCCTCCGTGGAGGCGGGGCTGCCTCTCTCTGCAGCGGTCGACGCCGCCCAGGGCTTCTCTCCCTAGCAGGACCCGAGGCAGCGCCCAGCACCCAGACTAAGGAACGGATGAGGGTCCACTGCCACGAGGGAGGGGGCCGCCTGCAATGCTGGAGGGCGCCGGCAGGCGGCGCCCGGGGCTGCCCGCCGCTGGATGCCCGTTTGCAGAATTGGCCTCCGGGTGCAGAGGCCCACGTGCTCGGCTCTTGCTCCCCCGCCGCGTTCCCGGGGCTGGGGGAAAAGCTTGTTTGGGCCACTTTGAGCCGTAGTCACCATCCATGGGGGTGGGGTATAAATCGGGGGAGGAGGTCGCCCACGGGCAAAGTGGAAAAGTGAGCGTGGATTTCGCATGCATCTGCGCGAGGAGCCCCCAGCGGAGCTTGGAACCAGCCCCCACTGTGACTCGGTTCCATCTCCGAGGGGGGCTCTCCCCACCCCGGCTTGACGCGGTCTGACCCCCTCCATAAATAAATAAATAAATAAATAAGAACACAGAGCCAGGTAGGTGGAGAGAGTTTTCAGCGGGTCCGGCGCTTGCCTTGCACGCGGCCATCCTAGGCTGGATCCCGGGGGTCTTGTAAAGCCCCCAAGTCCACCAGGAAAAAGCCCTGAGTGGATAATAACCTCCTGGTGTGGCCCCAAACGAAGCAAGCAGCTGGGCCCTAGGTAGCCAGGTGTAGGCTTTTGGGTTTTGCAAGCTGGCCCTCTGGTCCTGATACCTAGCCAGGGGCCGGGGAGCGGGAGGGTCCTTCCGGCCTTGAGGTCTTCCACCTCCTTCCTCGGAGGTGCTCGGCAAAGAGGAAACTTACAATGGGCAGTGGGGGGTGTCCGGGTGGGACCCTTTGGTGGGCAGGTTTTGTACTGATCAGCTAATCTCTCCGCCCCCAGCCTGGCTCCCAGTCGCGGCCTCGTGGAGACCAGATGGACAGGTTCCTGATAAAGAGGACTCCGTCGGACCCTTTGGGAACGAGGGTGCGGGAAGAGGTGGCGGAAGACCAGGAGCGCGGCAGGAAAAGGCCCAGGAGAGCAGGTCCCGGGGCTGGGGGCGACCTGGCAGCCCCCCACTGGCAGCGAATCCGAGCGGAGGGCCTGGACTGTGATTACACGCTCCTGTTTGGCAAAGCCGAGGCGGATGAGATTTTCCTGGAGCTGGAGAGGGAAGTGGAATATTTCACAGGTGAGCGGAGGAGGGCAGGGCCTCGGGGAGAGGTGCCGCTCAGGTCCTGCGGTCCTGGGGTGACCCTGGCCATCCCCAGCGATGCTCAGGGGATCGTGGGGACGCGCGAGGTGTAAGGCATGCACCTTGACCCCCACCCAACACCTGGCGCCCGAGCCTGGGTATTTTAGCGGCGCCTGAAGTGGGGCGCCATTGATTACTGTAGATCCGCTGACAGATGCACCCACCTTCTCTGGGCTCAGCACCATGAACGGTGTGGGGGCTCAAACTCTGAAGCCCACCTACCAGTCAGCGCCTGTCCAGTGCCGGCTGATCCGTGGTCTGGCGCTGAAGGAGGGGGCAGGGCCTAGCAGGGGGTTGACTCCAAGCAGGTGGGGTGCAGAGGTGCAGCGTGGGTCTCAGGAAGGTGTTTTTTTTGTTTGGTCACACCGGGCGATGCACAGGGGTTCCTCCTGGCTCTGCACTCAGGAATTACCCCTGGCGGTGCTCGGGGGACCATGTGGGATGCTGAGGATCAAACCCGAAACGCCCTACCTTCTGTGCTATTGCTCCAGTCCCCTTGGGAAGGTCGTAAGGTTCTCGAGAGACTGCAGGTTTGCTCAACAGCGAGAGACCAGGTACCTCCTCCGCCTGGGGGTCCTCGGCGCCACCAAGTCTAGTGTCCGAGGAGCCGCCCTCCAAATGAGGCTGCAAGATGCTGGAAGCCCAGCAGATCCCGGGAGACGCTCCCCACCCTCCCCCCGTCTCGTGGAGCCCCACACCCTAAGTCTCCTCGCTCAGCAAGTCACCCCAGCAGCTGACTCCATCGTGCTCACAGTCCAGCCTCTTTGACCCACCCCGACTGTACTTCAGGCAATCAGGATGTAGGACTGTGAAGAAGAAACTGGGGGCCGGAGAGAGAACTCAGTGGGCAGAGCTCGCGCCGTGCACGGTCCCTGGGGACCTCTGGAAGAAACCCCCAAAGTGCGTCGCCGGGAGAAGTCCGGGGCACTGCCAGGTGTTGGCCAGACACGAGGGGGAAATGCAGAGATTGGGCTAAGGCCTATTTTTCTAAATGACAAGAACCGCAGCCGGGTGCCAGGACTGTAACTCAGAGGGAGCCCCAAGGGCAGGGCCTGGCAGGGGGTGTGGGAGGGGCAGGGATCACTGTGAGAATGTGGGGTCTCGGTGGCTGCCGAGGGGTGCTGGGTCAGGGGTTAGAGGGGGTCCCCTTTGGCCCCCTCTGCCTCCCAGGGACTCTGGGGTGCCAGCGGGCCTCCTCCGCGAGCCTTGAGCCGTCCTGTGTCTGCCCAGGTGCTCTGGCCAGAGTGCAGGTGTTCGGGAAGTGGCACACGGTGCCCAGGAAGCAGGCGACCTACGGGGACGAAGGACTGACCTACACGTTCTCCGGCCTGACCCTGTCGCCCCGGCCCTGGCTCCCTGTTCTCGAGCGTGTCCGGGCTCGGGTCTCTGCGGTGACGGGGCAGACCTTCAACTTTGTGCTGGTCAACAGGTGAGCCCCCTTTCCCCTGGCCAGCCGACCGGGTGTCAGTCACATCGCCCAAAGGGGACAAAGTTGCGGGGTCCGGGGTGTTGGGTTCCTTGGTAAAGAAAAACAAAGCTCGGGGCTGGAGCACCTACCACAGCGGGGAGGGCGTTTGCCTTGCACATGGCCGACCCGGGTTCAATTCCCAGCATCCCATATGATCCCCCGAGCACCGCCAGGAGTAACTCCTGAATGCAGAGCCAGGAGGAACCCCTGTGCATCGCAGGGTGTGACCCATAAAGCAAAACAAACAAACAAAAATAACAAAAAAAGATGCAGCTTAGATGTCAGGTACAGGCGAGCCCAGGGGCCCCCACTTCAAAGCAGGGCTTCTCCAGAGCAGGACTCGGGGGTGGGAGGGTTCAGCACGGTCAGCACATTCGATTATGGGAGCCCCATTACCCTGACAGAACGCAGAGATTAGAGGAATGTTGGTGGGGGTGGGAGGGGGCATCTTAGCTGACCATTAGCTGGAGGAGAAGGAGACCAACCGCCCACATGGCTGGGAAGCAGAGGGGGAGGAGAGAGGTTCACGGGGTGAGTCCAGGAGTGAGCAGCGGCCCACTGTGGGCTGCAGGATATTCCAGAGGTAAAAACTGGGTTGGAGAGACAGTCCACTGGGTAGGGCACCTGCCTTGTATGCGGCCGACTCAGGTTCGATCCCCGGCATCCCATAGGGTCCCCTGCCTCAAGCACGCCTGGAGTAACTCCTGAGTGCAGAGCCAGGGAGTAATCCCCGAGCATCTCCAGGTGTGGCCGAAAAACAAAAAAATTAAGAAACTGGGTCAGTGGGGGCCCACGGGGAGGCCGGGAGGCAGCCAGGGTCAGAGAAGGGCCGAGAAACACGGGCTGAGCTGCAGGGAGAAACTGCTGATGAGATCAGCTTTCCAGAGGCAAGCCCGAGAGCGGGGCTCCTCCCTCAGACTGGCTCCTCCCGGGCCCCCCAGAGTGCCTCTGGCCTCGAGGGGCGCCACTGCTCAAGGCAGAAGAGGAGGCAGAGGAGGCTCAGCCCGTCTCCCCGCAGGTACAGGGACGGCTGCGACCACATCGGTGAGCACCGGGATGATGAGCGGGAGCTGGACCCCGGGAGCTCTATCGCCTCCGTGTCCTTCGGGGCCTGCCGGGACTTCGTCTTCCGCCACGGGCAGTCCCGAGGGAAGAAGCCCGCCCAGCGGCTGGCCGCGGTCAGGCTGCCGCTGGCCCACGGGAGTCTGCTTATGATGAACCCCCCGACCAACACGCACTGGTATCACAGTCTTCCCGTCCGCAAAAAGGTGCTGGCCCCACGGGTCAATCTGACGTTCCGTAAAATCCTGACCACTAAAAAGTAAGATAAAAAGGAAAAAAGGAAAAATTGTTGTTTTGGGCCCTTCCTGGCTACGCTCAAGGCTTACCCCAGGCTCTGCGCTCAGGGGTCACGCCTGGGATCTGGGGGGCCCGGGATCGAACCTGGATCAGCCGTAAGCAAGGGAAACACCCCTTACCCAGATCACTCTGGCCCATCATCAGCTCTGTTCTCTTCCCCCTTTCTTCTCAGTCGGAAGACCGGTGGGCTTTCCTTTTGGAAAGGGGGCAGAAGTCTGGGCCAGCAGGCTGGGGCTTCCGAGAGCGCAGAACCTGCCAAGGCGACGTCAGGAGAAACTCCCAGTTGACGCTTTCCTAACAAAACGATCCTTTTATTGCCAATTACACAGCAGGTACAAAAGGGGCCTTTCGCAGATATGTCCGTGAGCGGTTCTGAGGACATAAACTCCTACTTTAGCTTAAGTTTTGTCTCCCTCCCCCCCATAAAGCTACTCTGTAAATAACTTAGAAATAAAGATTATTTGGTTGCTACTTAATGCCTAGTAATTTACAAAAAAAAACAAAAACAAAAAAACAAAAACGAGGAAGTCGGCTCTAGGGAAGGTGAAGGGACTTCAGGCAGATATTCACATTTACACCCTGGCCTCTGACCTCTGACCTCTGACCCCAGACCTGCTTCCTGGCAGGGCACCAGCCTTTCCTGCCAGCAGCTTTCAGCGAGGGCCCGGTGCCAGGGCACTGATCGCTTCAAGCGACCGCTTGGCCAGGCAGCTCGGGGTTCACACCACTGGGGGGTTGGACAGATGCATCAGATGGGGCGGCACGCGGGGGGGGGGGCTTGTTTTAGTGTCAGCACGGGGTCGGCCATGGCATCTGGGAGGGACGTCGGCACTGACCGGCACCTGGTCCAGGCCGGGATGCTCAGGCCTGCAGAGCCGACCCGTCAGAGCTACTGAACAAGACGGAGGGTGGTGTCCTCGGGACAGGCTGGCCCCGTCAGGGTCCGTCCCCAAGGCCTCGCTCCCACCAGGAGAGGCACAGAGCCGCAGCCTGGCCCCAGGTGACCTTTGGGATTCGTCTGATTTCAAATCTCAGCTCGGAAGAGGCCTCTGAATTTGGTATCTATTTTTTTAAGGACTGAAAGTATTTAAACAAACAAAAACACCTAGCTGCAATGTCACCCAAGCTCCTTCAGCCCCGAGCTGTGTTATGGGGGCAAGGCGCGGGAACGCCCAGTGGGCCCGAGCGGGTGGCAGCAGGCCCGCGGGGGACACATTCGACCCGAACGGGCGCGTCCCAGTCGGTTGGCGGTGACGTGCTTTTAGAAGAAAGTGGGCAGGGCTGGACCCCTGTGCTCATCAGCTCTGAGGTGCAGAGATACAGCAGCCCAGGGGTTGGCCGCGCCCGCCCTTCCTTCCTTCCCGGCCCGGCCCTCCAACCAGGCGGGACGGTCAGCTCAAACTCTGGAGAATGGGAAGACAGGCTGCCCACAACCATAACCTCGGGCTTCTGCGTAAGAGGGGCTCCCAGATGCCGTCTGGTTCCAGCTCCCCCGACCCAGAACTGGATCTCAGTGCCGTGTACAGAGGATAAAAGCAAACGGGTTTCCAAATCACCGATAAAGCAGCAACGGCTTCTCCCGCCCCCCGCCCCCCGCGGTGGGTTTGACAGATGAGACTTCACTAGGTACAAATGATGGAGAGTTAGAAAACAGACGTACAAAAGGGGCGGGGGGAGAGGTCTCGAGGCGTCTTGCTGGCCGGCCAGTGGCTTGGGAGGAAGGGCGTGTCTCCAGGACCGTCCGCGAGAGTCCCAGGGTGGGTGGGGTTGGTTGCTGCTCAGGCCACGAGAGCGGAAGGCACTTTTTCTTCTAGATCGTTGCCCGGGATCATTTCGCTAACTCAAAGATTTTTTTCTTTTTCTTTTTTTAAGTGGGTCTGTTTTATTAAAAAATAAAAGATCTGGGCTGAAATAATCAGAGGAAGTGGACGCAGCCAGTTTCCCTCGGAGGACACCAGACACGCTCGGCTTAGAAAAACGCGGCTTCCAGAGTCCGATCTCTTTTTAATGACCTGGCCCGGGTGGGTGGAAAGACAGGCTCGCTGCTTCGCTGCTTCTCATCACGGGCCGACCGCTGCCGTCCGGGGCGTGCCGGCAGGCCTGTGCCAGGGAGCCTGACGGGGGGATAGAGTCGGGGCCACGGGCCTCCACGTGGGCCTGCTCTGGGAAGGACCCCGGGGAAGCGGCTGGCGCGCCCACACCCCTACAGTTGGGCTCCGCCTTCTGCCCGGCCAGTCTGGTCAGCTCGGCATCCCCCGGGGCCAGGGCCGAGTCATTCTTCTGACTTGTACTCCCGGCTCTGGGGCTGCAGCCTGGAGAGCACGCGCTCGTAGAACAACAGGTAGGCGCTGGACGACAGGACCTCCTGCAGGCTGGCCTTGCGGACGGTGTCGTCTGAGACCCACAGCCACTGGCTGCTGGTGGCCAGGGGGTTCTTGGCCGATGGCGGGGACCGTCGGTAGGTCACGAAGTGGCCCGAGTGCATGTCTCCGTGGTGGACGACCACTGCCATCAGCCGGAAGAGGTACGTGGAGGAGCTGAATGGTCGGGGACAAACGCCGGGGGTTTTACACGGACAAGGGAAGCGTCCCGTCCCGGCCGAGCCCACAGCCCAAGCCTGTCCGTTCAGCAGCGCACCGATGCAAAGGTGCACCAGGTGCCTACACACCCCTGCAAGCATCAGCTGCACGCCCGTGTTTACTGGCGTGTGTACACGTGTGTGCATGCGCGCGCACACACACGCGCACACACGCACACAAACTCTGCAGAGCAGAAGGCTTGAAAGGTTTAAAGGATTTTTAGGGGGTATGCCCAGGTGGGAAAGTATTTGGGAGGTGGGGCTGCACCCTGCAGTGTTCCGAGTTTACTCCTGGCCCTGCACACTCAGGGATCACTACTGGCGGGCCCAGGGGACCACAAGGGAGAGCGGGAATCGAACCGAGGTTAGCCACGTGCAGAGCAAGCACCCTGCACTATCGCCCTGGCCTCGCAAACTTTTCTCTGTATGTCTGATGCATATAATCACACTTATTACATAGCAAACAAGTACAGATATTTCAACATCATGTATTGGAGGGGGGAGGCGCTTAGGCCACACCCACCAGTGTTCAGGGCTTACTCCTGGCTCTATGCTCAGTGCTCACTCCTGGCAGAGCTCAGAGAACCGTATGTGGTGCCCAGGGTTGAGCTGGGTGTGCGTGGGTGAGCTGGGGCACACCTGGCAATGCTCAGGGGGGTATTTCTGGCTTAACGCTTGCAGGTTGCTCCAGACGTGGCCAGGGGACCACGTGGTGCTGAAGCTCCAACCGGGTCTCCTGCGTGCGAAGCATGTGCTCAGCCACTGAGCGATCTTCCTGGCCCCTAGTCCTTCATTTTTAAGTGATTTCCATTTTGGACATGAAAAGGGAGTGCACAGTGAAATTTCACCTTAAAATGAAAGGGGGGGCGGGGCTGGAGAGATAGCACAGTGGGTAGGGCGTTTGCCTTGCACGCGGCCGACCCGGGTTTGATTCCCAGCATCCCATATGGTCCCCTGAGCACCGCCAGGAGTAACTCCTGAGTGCAGAGCCAGGAGGAACCCCTGAGCATCACCAGGTGTGACCCAAAAAGCAAAAAAAAAAAAAAAGAAAAGAAAGGCGGGGGGGAAGAAACCACCTAAATTCTATATTTCTATAAAAAAGGGTCAGAACGATAGTATAGCGGGTAGGGTAGTTGCCTTGCATGCAGCTGACCTGGGTTCGATCCCGGGCATCCCATATGACGCCCCCCCCCACACCGCTAGTGATCCTGAGCACAGAGCCAGGAGTAACCCCTGAGCACTGCCAGATGTGTCCCAAAGACAAAAACAAACAAACAAAAACGACATTTGGAAGCCGAGAATAGGGCCACTGTGTGCATTCGAAGAGCGACTCACCTGTAGTCAGGAACCGCTGGCAAAGGGAAGGGCACTGGGCTTGGCAGGGTGGGCAGCAAAGACGGGGAGGAGCAGGCGCCATTCATGAAGATCTGTGTCTTGGGGCCCCTGGGCTGATTCAGAACTGCAAGAGAAAACGGCGTGGCGGCAGGATCAGCGGTGGCTGGGGCAGACCACAGGATTCCGATCGCCTAGAAACTGCACGCCCCGCCCGCCCTGCTACGAAGAAAACCGGACAGCTCGTCCCGTCTTGCAGCCTCTTCAAGTTCCCACTCAGCTCTGAGCTGCTTCCAGCTCACACAGGAACCGCAGGGCGGAGAGACAGCAGCCTCGTATGATCCGGCCTGGCTCCGATCCCCGGCTCCCACATGGTCACCCGGAGCTACATCACTAACTCAGAGTGATCCCTGAGTGCAGAGCCTGGAGTAACCCCTGAGCGCTTCCGGGTCCCAAAACAAACCAGATAAAAAGCACGCACCACCCAGCTGGCTCCCGCTGACAGCTTGTGGGGCATGGGGCGCCCCTTGTTGGCCGAGGGCCTGAGTCAGGGGAGTCCAAGGTCACTTCTCGGCTTTTATTTTTTTGCTTTTTGGATCATACCCAGCAATGCACAGGGGTTATTCCTGGCTCTGCACTCAGGAATTACTCCTGGCAGTGCTCGGGGGACCGTATGGGATGTCGGGGATCGAACCTGGGTCACGCAAGGCAAACGCCCTACCCGCTGTATTATCTCTCCTGCCCCTCCTCTTGGCTTTCTGACCCCAACCTTGGTCTCAGTGTTGTCACCGTTGGTGTCTGGGGCTGGGGGACTCTGCAGTGGGCTGTCCTGTGTGCTGTAAGATGTTTAGCAAATGTCTCGGGACAGACATCCACCCTGCAGAGGGAGCACAACTAGACAACTCAACCATCTCCACTGGGGACAGCCAAAATGTCACCAGGTACGGGAGGGGACGTCTGCCGCCGACGGAGAACCACAGACTCAACCATTTCAAAGAGATTCTCTTTCCTCGGCTTCTTGGGGAGGGGGCAGTCCAGGCCATTCCTGACCGTGCTCGGGGGCTACTCCCCGTGGGGGTCCCTCCTGCCGCTGCTGGGGCTCAAGCTGCCGTTGGCCGTTCGCAAGGCAGCACCGGGGCCCCTGCACTGGCTCTCCAGCCCTCTCTGACCTTCCTTATTTTTTACTTTCTGGATTTGGGGCCAGCTGTGGTGCTGCTCGGGGCTTACTCCTGGCTCTGTGCTCAGGGCCCTTCCCGGTGGGCTGGGGGAACCATGCGTGGTGCCAGGGATCAAACCGGGGTCAGCCACACGCAAAACAAATGTTCTCATCCATACTGTGGCTTTGGATTATTTTGCGGAAAGGGAAGGACCACATCCAGTGACGCCCAGGGGTACTCCCGGGTCCATGCTCGGGGACCACGCCTGGTGGTGCTTGGGGGACCGACAGAATGCTGAGGATGGAACCCAGGTGCAAGGCAAGCGCCAAAGCTGCGATACTCTCTCTGGCCCCACTCTGATTTTTTTTTGGGGGGGGGGACACCCAACTGTGCTCAAGGCTGATTCCTGGCTCTGTGCTCGGGAATCACTCCTGGCAGGGCTCAGGGGACTGTGAAGAGGTGCCCGAGTTTGAACCCAGGTTGGCCTGACGCCAGGCCAACGCCATCCCGCTGGACTGGCTTCTCGGGCTGCCATGCACACAGCTCTGAGACAACGGCCGTCTGAATCACTGTGCCCGTGAGGAGCTCATGCCTCTCCCGCATCCCCCCGAGCTGTTCTCGGAAGCAAAAAGCAACGTGGCCGGGTGCGCCAAAGGCCGGGGTGCCCGCCGCCTCTTCTCTGTGCGGGCCCTGCCCTCCACCCCCGTCCCCACCCACCAGGCTTGGGGGTTGCGGGCTCCAGGGCAGGGCCGGCTCCCTGGCCCGGCCGGGAGCTGTGCGCGCGGGGCTTGCGGCCCAGGAGGCGGTACTTGTAGGTGTCCATCATCAGGAACTCGTTGAACTGCACGTGCTCGTGGCGCTTCAGGGGCGTCCCGTGGCTGGACCAGCTCAGGCGCTGGAGGTGGATGCACAGGCACTGTGGGAGCTGCGGGGAAGGCGCGGGTCAAGGGCTGGCGGCCGGCCCGGCTCCCCCAGGCGCCGCCGTGCAGGCCCGCCGGGCACCCGCTCACCTTCCCGAGCTTGAGCTGCTTGACGAACGTCGTCCTCTGGTGCTCGACCTGCTCCCCGCTCGGGGTCCCTCTGGCTTCCATCTGGAACGGAAGCGGGCACGGCGGTGGGCAGGGCTCCGGAGGGCTGCGGGAAGGGGACCGGCGAGCCGTCGCGGGGACCCCCTCCCTCGGGTCCCGGGCCTACCTTGGTGCAGTTGTCGCAGACGACGTCCCGCACAGACTCGGACGAGATGAAGTGATGAAGGCAGTGGTCCAGGGTCAAGGGGTGACCCTAGGGCGAGGAGGACAGCAGGGTCACTGTGGGGTGGGAGGAGGAGGACAGGCCCCTGGAAGCTGCCAACAGCCGGCGTGGGGGGGTGGGGGGGACCCTGGAGCCTTTTCTTTCCGCTTCTCGGGCAACAGCGCCTTGCAGAGACCTGCCCCTGGGGGCTGATTTCTGATCGAGGCCGTGACTGACACTTCGTCACATCACGGGCTCCTCTGAGGCTGCCCATGGCTCTGCATTTGAGATCAGCGTGCATGTGTGTGAGCACATGTTGTGTGCTCATGTGAGCACGCGTGTGTAGCTGTGTGCACGCGTGCATTTCCGAAAAAGCCAAATTTCCCACAGCCAGGGAGAAATCATCCGCCCGTCTCCACCCCCTAAGTCTGACCGAGGTTCCACACGTGAAAGCTGAGATGGGGCGTACTAGGTGTGGGACACAGTGCAACAGACCAACAGACCGCACCACCCTCGCAGGTCTGAGAGCACTACAGGACCCCTAACCGACCAACGACTGGACATACCCATGTGGCAGCTGGAATACTTAGCGAAAGGCTATCAAAGGTATCAAATCGAACAGGACTCTGGAAAAAAAAATAATAGCATGAGTGCAGAAAGGTAAAGGTAAAGGTAAAGGTAAAGGCCCTCCCGTTGATCGTCGATTTGCTCGAGCGGGCCCAGTAACGTCTCCATTGGAGACTTTGTTGTTACTGTGTCTGGCATATCAAATACTCTCGGTAGCTTGCCGGGCTCTCCGAGAGGGGCAGAGGAATCGAACTCGGGTCGGCCATGTTGGCCGCTTGTAAGGCGAACGCCCTACCCGCTGTGCTATCGCTCCAGTGCAGAATGAGTGCAGAAAACCCCAAAAAAGCTTTAGGTTCTGTTCAAAGTCTTCTGGATGGGAGAGAGAGGGTTATAAACATTTATTGGTTTATATTATTATGATACACTTCAATATTTAGGCACCTAATGTGAATATAATAAAACATATATCACTGTTATCACTGTCACCCTGTTGTTCATCGATTTCCTCGAGCAGGCCCCAGTAATGTCTCCTTCGACCTAGCCCTGAGATTTTAGAAAATGCCACATTCAAGGCTCTTTCAGGGTCAGGAGAATGAGACCCATCACTGTTACTGGTTTTTGGCACACTGAACACGCCACAGGGAGTTTGCCAGACTCTGCCGGGTGGGCAGGACACTCTTGGTAGCCTGCCAGATTCTCCATAGTAAGAACTAGATAATAAGTGTAATTCCATCAACGGCCAAGACCCAGAGATTATAAAACCCAGCTCCCAGAAGAAAACAGTGCAGAGTCTCCTGCCTCCGCGCCTGGCTGTCCTCTCCGGGGCCCCTTAGAGGAGGGTGGGTTGAGTTTCCCTCCCCACCGCGAGCAGAGCCCCGGCAGCTGAAGTCCTCTGGTTTCAGCCACAGCCATGCTTAAGACCACTCTCCACACGTTTGGATGAGCCTCACGCATGAAGGAACCGGCAGAGAAACCCAGGTGTGCGCGACCCGGGGCGTAGATCTCCAAGCCTGCTCGGATTGGGACTGGGCCTCCTCCACCCAGTTCCCCCATCTTCCAGTATGTAGGCGTCACACCCACCAACTGCTCCCGGCGCCGTGTAATCCCATCAATGGCCAAGACCCACAGACTATAAAACCCAGCTCCTGGAAGCACATGGCCGTGACTATGTATTATTTAGATAATTATATATATACTTATGTAAATTGCTGTTGTTACTGTTTTTGGCATATTGAATACGTCAAGGGTAGCTTGCCAGGCTTTGCTGTGTGAGCGAGATACTCGGGTCAGCACAGCGGGTAGGGCGTCTGCCTTGCACGCGGCCAACCGGGCCGACCTGGGTTCGATTCCTCCGCCCCTCTCGAGAGTATCTTGCCCGCAAGGCAAAGCCTGGCAAGCTCCCCGTGACGTATTCGAGATGCCAAACACAGTAACAACAAGTCTCACAATGGAGACGTTACTGGGCCCGCTCGAGCAAATCGATGAACAACGGGAGGACAGTGACAGTAACTTATGTAAAAGCAAATGTTACTAAAAACCACCTTACAAACATAGGAAGTAGAATAATACTCAAGAATAGCCTAGAAAAACAGAAGATGGTATAAGATTTGGGGATTTCATGCTATAGAAACAACCACAGGCAAGCTCCCCGTGACGTATTCGAGATGCCAAACACAGTAACATCAAAGTCTCCAACGGAGACGTTACTGGGCCCGCTCGATGAACAACGGGAGGACGGGATCACAGGATCACAGGTATAAGATTTGGGGATTTCATGCTGTAGAAACAACCACAGGCATATTTATAGCGATACCCATCACTTATGCAGAGCAGCAAAACTGTGGAGAATCCAAATTTCTTGGGAATGATTAGATGACATCATGTTCATAAAATGTAGTATAATACAGAAAAAAACGTGGCAGGAAATGCAGTTGAAGAAAGAATGCATGACTTCTGGGTAAATGTGTGACTTATATTATGAGCTGCCAAAAAAAAGCAGCGAGAGGTCAGAGAGATAGTGAGTCCGGCGGGTAAGGTGTTTGCCTTGCACGCGGCTGACCCAGATTCAATCCCTGGCACTTCTGTGGTCTCCCCAGCACGGTGGGGGTCACTCCTCAGCTGAGGCAGGAGGAGCCCTGGAACATCACCAATATGAATGACCCCACCCCACCCAAAACAAAATGACTCCATTAAAGGCTATTTACGAAAATATTTAAGACCGTCGCTGGCACTGGAATGACAGTACAGCAGGCAGGGCACTTCCCTTGCACACGGCCGACCACGTCCAACACCAGGAATCCTATCTGACCCCCGCCCCCACTCAATGCATCGCCAGGCATGATGCCGGAGCTCAGAGCCAGGAGTACTCCCACTCTGAGCGCAGCCGGGAGTGACCAACGGGAAAACAATAAAACTCCAAGACGGCTGAGTCAGAAGAACGACTGCGGAACGCCTGCCTGGCGAGCGATCTGGTCACGAGTTCAAGTCCCTGTCCAGGCCTGGCCCACATGTGCCGATCATGATCCTGCCAGCTGTGTCCACCCACAGCTGTGTCACTGCCGGGAACGTGAGCCGGGTGTGTGGCCGCACCACGATGACGAAAGGTGTGGCGAGCCTCAGTGAGCTCTGAAGCATGGGCCGGGGGTGGCAGGCCAGCCACCGTGTGCCAAGCCAGGCCATCTCCATACTGTCGCTCCACGCCAGGCCTCGCTCTCTGGATCCTTCCGGGCCCCAGGAGAGAAAACCCGCGCCGAGCTGTGGGCTCACCTGGTGCTCACAGTGTTTGCAGACCATGTTGCTAGTCAGTCTCCCGTGGAAGGGATGCTGGGACTTCCAGTGTTTGGACGCGGGGTGGGGGGTGCCTGCAAGACACGGACATGCGGCTAGGCCCCCCGGGGCGCTCCTCTTCCACACTCACCCTCCTCAAGTCTGGACTAGGAACGCCCACTTCGGGGGGAAAAGAGAAAGACATGGTCCTGAACCCTAACGCGAGCCGCCTTCCGTACTGGCTTCCACTATGAAGCCAACCAGCAAAGGAACCCGACAGACCCAACACCACGTCCCTTCACGCAGATGTTTATGGGGGGCCTTGGGATGGGGATTTCAGCCACGCTAAAGAAAAGGAACTCGTGGGGCTGAGGGTGATTTTACTGTTCACACACACACTGCTGGAGCGACAGCACAGCGGGTAGGGCGTCTGCCCTGCATACAGCTGACCCGGGTTCGATCCATCCATCCTTCTCGTAGAGCTCGACAAACTCCCCGTGATGTCTTCGAGATGCCAGACACAGTAACAAGTCTCACAATGGAGACGTTACTGGTGCCCGCTCGAGCAAATTGATGAACAATGGGAGGACAGTGCTACAGTGCCACACACACACACACACACACACACACAAATGTGTGGGAGGCCGAGACTCCTGCACTCCCAGTGACCGCAACTTCGAAACTCACCGAGAGGCTCAAGTTCTGAGACACTGGCACTGCCCTGCGGCTAGGAGGGGGTTCATGGGGCAAGCACACCACTGTATGGTCTGCAGGCGGCGGGGCACTCTCGGGGGCAGGGGCGGGTGCAGCCTGGGGATGCAGTGCCTGTTCTGGGAATGCAGGTGCAGTTGGGGGGGTGCAGCCTATGGTCTGGGGATGCGGGGTGCAGCCTGGGTACGTGGGAGGTTCGCAGGCAGCCCCAGGCTTGCTCCAAACTTTACTCCGTGTCAGCCCGGGGTGCTGTGTGGTCACTTCGCCTCTGCAAGCCTGGGCTTGCTGGGGATAAGTATTAATCATCACTGCCCTGATGACTGGATTGTGTTGCGTACTATGGCAAAAATGAATAATTATCTTAAGAGTGAACCGGGGATGGTTATTTCCCCAACACCTTTGACATCAGAGTGGCCTGGGGGCCGGCATCAGAGAGCTGGGTACTCGGCACAGAGCATGGGTTGAGAATCCCTTTGATTCAGCGTTTCTAGTACACCAAGGAGCTGGTGTCTGGAGCTGGAGCGATAGCACAACGGGCAGGACATCTGCCTTGCAAGCGGCTGACCTGGGTTCGATTCCCAGCATCCCACATGGTCCCTTGAGCACCGCCAGGAGGAACTCCTGAGTGCAGAGCCCCCCCCCCCCAAAAAAAAGGAGCTGGTGTCTTTTTTCCCCCCCTCCAGTCATGAGAAAGCAATGGTTTCCTTCTAGGGAGAGCCAGGAGCCCTGGTGGTGGACACTGGTGGGGAGGTGGCCCGCTGAGGCACACAGCAGCCACAGCTCACTGAACTCTCCCCAGAAGCACCTCAAGGTGGCAGAGGGCAGCGCCCCGCCTGCAGGGTGCGTGAGCTCTCAGAGGAGACCGCATGGGGAGCAGGCGTGGGGCAACTCGGGGCGCCCACCAGGGGACTGAGACGCAGCCGCCGAGTTCATGCGGGATTGGGTGTCCCCAGGGACAGGTTCACACAAGCAAGTCATTGTCCCAGCTACCACGTCACAGTGCGGCTGTCCCAGATCCACGGAAAAGGACTACTACCTCTGGTGTGGCAGGTGGTCTGTCGGGGAGTCACTTCGGACTGTTGCTGTAGGGGAGAGAGGGAGAGAGGGAGGGAGGGAGGGAGCGAGGGAGAGAGGAAGGAGGGAGATGGAGAAAGAGAGAGGAGGAGAGAGGGGAGGGGGAGGGAGAGAGAGGGAGAGAGGATGAAAACCTTCCAGCAACCCTGCAGGCCGCCCTGCTTCCCAGTCTCATGAGTCTCCCCGCTGCCCGCACCCTGACGGTTCCCCTCCCCCAGACTGTCCTCCAGGGGCCTGTCCCCCACCCCTGGCTTCACCCAGCGCCATTCCGCTCCTGGAGGAGGTTCTCCCTTCCCTGGCACGAGCCAACTCCCCGACCTTCACAGCATCCCTCCTGCAGGGGCGGGGTGGGGGGCAACCCTCTTTCTCCTGAGACCAAGGGCCCATGGGAGAGCCAGAGACACCCACCCCTCCCGGGGGTCCCTCCCGCTCACCTCCAGGGCCTGCACGTCAAACAGGGGCGTGACCTGTGGCTGCCGGTCCCGCTCGTCCTCCAGGGAGGCCGTGATGATGTGGAACAGCTCGTGGGCGTCCTGCCAAAAGCACAGCGGCCTTCAGAGGCGGGGGGCCACGGCCCACCACGACTCCCGTGGGCAGTTACCCCGCAGGCCGGCTCTGTGCTGACCAGACAGCCTCCACGGAGGGCTGGGGCGACAGGACAGCAGGCAGGGCGCCGGCCTGGCCAGCAGCCGACCTGCGGGTCGATCCCCGACACACCAGAGGGTCCCCCGAGCACCACCACGAGGGACGCCTGAGCACGGAGTCAGAAGCCAGCGCTGAGAACGGCCAGGCGTGGCCGCCAAACAAAAACAAAAACAGGAATTTGGGTGCACCAGTGAGAGGGAGGCTGGGTTTGTTGTGGGGGCTGCAGGGTCAGGGTTGGGGTGGGGGGCGGGGGTCAGAAGGCGTGCGGAGAGCCAAACTCGGCCTCACGGGTGCAGGCCAACAGCCCACCGTGCAGCCAGCCCCGCCCTAGCTGGCCCAAGCGCCAGGGAATCCACCGCTTCCTGAACTTTCCTGTGCTCTGGTGCGGACAGGAAGCTCCCAGGGTGTTCACGACACAGAGGCAGGCCTGGGGCTGGGTCGCCGTTGACCATGGAGAAAGCTGCAGGGGCCAGCGGCCGTGCCTGGCTGTAGCCAACAGTACAAGGGCCACTGCCTGGGATGGCCACCGGCCCCGGGGACTGCGGGAGGGGCCGGTCCTTGGAGCAAGAGCAGGGGTCTCCGGGAGAAATGCCCCTCACAGGACAGAGCCGGCTCATGCTGCACCCCTCTGGTCACTGCTGGCCAGCACTTGGCCCAGGGGACGCCGCACCGCAGAGAGGAGGGTGGGACTGAAGGGTGCTCGGACGCCCCGGCCTGGTCCCCAGCTTGGCTCTGTGGCCTTCAGAGCTGTGTGGCTTTGGGGAAGTTACTTGGCGTCTCTGAGCTGAGGGCGGTCAGGACCTCTGGGCAGGGCAGAGGGGAGGACTCAGTCTGATGCATAACAGGGCACGAGAGCGCTTGGCCCAGCACAACGCACGGAGCTCAGTGCCCACGCTAGGGACGCTGAGAGTGACGTCTGTCACTGGGCGAGCGGCCAGGACAGTGGCGGGCCCAGGGAAGGAGCACTGTGTGTCTTCGGGATGACAGACAGACAGACAGACATGAACCTCTCTTTCCCACACGGGCCAGAGCAGAGTGTGGCTCGGTGACCCCCAAGCAGTGACCAGGACAGAAACGGGTCACTGGAAGAAGGGTGGCGCGCCGGAGAGGTGTCGGACGTCCTGGGGGACTTCAGAGTTTGGCCACCGGGAAAATGCAGACTAGAGAAATGCAAAATGCAGCCGATAATTCCCGCTCCCAGAGGGGGATCTGCTGGGAATTCTTTAAGTGGTAGAAGATGTCAGAGCATTAGTACACCGAGGAGGGAGGGTGCCAGGTTCGATCCGGCACCCTCTGCGGTCCCCAGAGCCCCTCCAGGAGTGACCCCGGAGCACCGGATATGGCCAAATACAAAAGAAACAAACAAGGGGATAGCGCAGCGGGGAGGGCGTTTGCCTGGCATGCGGCCCACCCGGGTTCAATCCCCGGCATCCCATCTGGTCCCCCAGCACTGCCCGGAGAGATTCCTGAGTGCAGAGCCAGGAGGAAGCCCTGAGCATCGACAGGTGTGACCCTCCCCCCCATAAAAAACAAAAACACCCAAGATCACCAAATCCTAAAACATAAATAAAAAGTCTAACACATCCATGGCTTCAGATCGAGTGGAAACGGGTCCCCTTGGGAAAAAGGGACGGCTGGGCAGGGGCGCCCGTACGGGGGTGGGGGGCACCTGAACCCCAGCCCCCAGGGCTCTCTGAGGTCCTTGGTTCAATTCTGCATCTCAGGGTCCCCCCCCCAGCACACCCAGGCGTGGTGCTGGCGGACCCCAGAACCACCAGGCCCACACACTGCAGCGGCAGCTCTGGGCGCGCGTGGCCTCATCGCCTTGGCATAGGACTGCAAGGGGTTGGGGCGCCTCCCCCGTCCTCCCGCTTTCCAGAGCTGGTTCACGCCTCCCCCTCCAGCTCCCTCTGAGGAAACCCAGAGGCTGGCCCCCACTTCTCAGCCCTGCAGCCCCGGGGAAGCAACCTTCCAAAGCTAGATGGGACAGGAGGCCAGGGCGGGGTCAGCAGGACTCCCGGCACAGTGCTCCAGAGCTGTACTCTGGCCTTAGCCCCAGGCTGGGGAGGGGAAAGCAGAGACTCTCCCCAGGGGGGCGGGCGCTGGGTGCTGGGAGGGGAACGAGGGATGTGGCAGGACCCAGAAGCTCAGGCCCACCCCAAGATCTGGGCCACATCAAGTCTGTCTCTGAGAACCATTCTATTTATTCATTTATTATTATTATTATTTTTTTCCTTTCTGGGTCACACCCAATGATGCTCAGGGATCACTCCTGGCTCTGCACTCAGGAATTACTCCTGGCTGTGCTCGGGGGACCCTATGGGATGTGGGAACCGAAGCTGGGTTGGCCGCGTGCAAGGCAAATACCCTCCCCGCTGTGCTATGGCTCCAGCCCCTTATTATTATTATTTTTCTGGTTTTGGAGCTGTACCTGACGATGTTCAGGGGTTACTCCTGCCTCTGCTCTGGAATCACTCCTGGAGGTGCCAGGGGGAATGATATGGGGTGTCGGGGATCGAACCGGGTCGGCCTCGTGCAACCTTACCCACTGTCCTAATGGCCCGGCCCCAGTTTTATCTATTTTCCTGAAACAAGGGCATGGACTGAGAATTGGTTCTCCCTGTACCTCCAAATCTCTCTGGGGAGTTATAACTCCCAGAGGGCCCTGCGGCTCCTCTCACCCGCGGAAAGGCAGACTCCCTCAGGAACGATCACAGTTTCACCCTGAAAGCCGTGCAGCTAGAGCTCTCCAGATGGGCGAAAACGGGCTGTGGCCCTCATCGTGACCGCAGGAAGTTCCCGGGGCCATGAGCGATAGGACAGCGGGGAGGGCACATGCCTTGCACACTACTGACCCGGGTTCGATCCCTGGTATCCCATACAGCCCTGAGAGCAGGGCCAGGAGTAATTCTTGAGGCAAAGTCAGGAATAACCCCTGAGCATCACTGAGTGTGACCCAAAACAGAAAAAAAAAAAAAAGAAAAAAGAAAAGTTCCCAGTGGCTGCCAGGACCACACTGAAGCTATTCGAACATCACCAAGAAACAAAGGCAGGCCAGGCGGTCAGCTTGCTAGTTTGCTTGCTTGCTGGGCCCCACAAAGCAGTGCTCAGGGCTTAGTCCTGGCTCTGCGCTCACAGATCGCTCCTGGTGAGATTCGGGGGATGATATGGGATGCCGGGAATGGGACGCAGGCCACCACGTGCCAGGCGGGCGCTCTGCAGAGAGGGTACCTGCCGGACTCTCTTCCCGCCCCTCCTGGCCTTGACTCTGGCCTCTGGGGCTATGCAGCTGCGTCCAGATGGCATGCGAGCTCCGGCCGGAGTGGGCAGCCTTCTCCGAGCCCAACCTGCTCTGAACCGTGTGTGCGCACCTGTTCTTCGAAGGACGAGATCTGCCACCTGTACGTTCTTAAGACGTCCAACAAGCAGCTTGCGTCTAAGACATCCTCATCAGTAACTTCCTGGCAGGACAGAGCTGGAAGAAAATAAAAAAAACAATAAAGGTAGCCCGGTTATGAAATTCACTTAGCCGGACAGCTAGCGGCACAGCATGCAGGAGCTGACTGGGGTGCCTGGCCTTCCAAGGGGTGTGGAGAGGGGGAGGGGAAGGGGGGGAGGGAGAGAGCACTGTGGGAGCTTTCTCCGATGCTGGCAGCCACACGCTACTCAAACTGGATTTTTTTTTTAACAGCTCCCAGTACGACTCAGGAGAAGCCTGCGTGGCGACACACCCAGCACTCCTGTCCACAACCGCCACCAGATTCCCTGCCCCCATGCCTGGGTGCTTCATGTCCTGAGAAGCAGTAGAAGATGACAGACTTGAAATGCAGTTTAAGGGTCTCATGTTTTATCTTCAGGGAATGTTTAGGAACTGACCGGCTGCCCAAGCGCCGTTAGGGGGATCTTCGGGGCTGCTCTTCACAGCCTGACCCACTATGCCTTTTACCTGCAGTGCCTTTTACCCACAATGCCTTTGATGCCTCGTGGAACTGTACGTGTGCTAAATGTATGTCATCTGAATAAAGTGGCACTATTTATTCATTTAGTGGTCTGGGGGCTACACCTGAAAGTACCTGGGGGCTACACCCAGCTCAGTGCCCGGGGTTCGCTCCTGGTGGTGTGGAGGGGACCAAGTGGTGTCAAGGACTCAACCTGGGCCACCCACACGCAAAACCGGGTCCAAGGATTCTGCATGGTGGGGAGTTGCCACAAGTACCAGTGCTCAGGGGACTACTCCTGGCTCTGTGCTCGGGGCCAATCCCCGGCAGTGATCAGAGACCCTCTGCAGAGCCTGGGCTTGACCCAGGGTAGGCTGCACAGTGAGAAAAGCACCCCCCCGCCCCCTAGCTGTGCTACCTCTCTGGCCCCTAGACCGTGGGTGAATGAAATCATCAATTCCTGGTCCCCTGAATCACCGCCATCGGGATGAATTTACGATCCCACGGTTCTCAGTGAATGGAAGGATCTGACTCACAACTCTTGGGGACGGGTGGCCCCGAGCACCGTAAAGTCCAGCCACACGATGGGCACCGGCTCCGGATCCAGGGCCCCGTGCTGAGAAGGCATGGTGTCGCATCAGGTCCTTTGCCACGATGCTCTCACATGGGCAAAGGATGTGAGCGAACATGGCACAGACCGATTCTGTGAGACAGAAACTGCAGAGTTGGGGGGGTAGGAAGGCGGAGCCGAGAGGCAGGACCATGTCCTGAGAGGGGCCTTTCTCCCGGACACTGGAAGCCAGGAGGGAAACTCCAGGGCACTCCTGAGTTCGGACAAAACGCTCCGGCATGCAGGCCACACGGCACAGCATGGAAGGAAACTGGAGTCCTTACTTTGGGGGTTGGGGCAAGGGGACTTTGGCCGAACATGGAATGCTCTGGGGCCACACGTAAGTGCTCAGGTTCTTCCTTGACCCTGGCTCTGTGCTCAGGGATCACCCCTGGCAGGGTTTGGGGAGCCGTATGGGATGCGGATGATCAAACCCAGGCTGGCCATGTGCAAGGAAAGTGCCCTTTCACTACCTCTCCAGCCCCTTTAGGAGGTCTTTTTTTTTTTTTTTTTTTTTTTTTGCTTTTTGGGTCACACCCGATGATGCACAGGGGTTACTCCTGGCTCTGCACTCAGGAACTACCCCTGGCGGTGCTCAGGGGACCATTTGGGATGCTGGGAATCGAACCCGGGTCGGCCGCGTGCAAGGCAAACACCCTACCCGTTGTGCTATCACTTCAGCCCTGAGGAGGTCATTTTTAATTTTTTTTTTTGAGGGGGGAGGGTCACACTTGGCGATGCTCAGGGCTCACTCCTGGCTCTGTACTCAGCAATCACTCTTGGTGGTGCTCAGGGGAACCATCTGGGATGCCGGGGATCACACCCGAGTTGGCCACATGCAAGGCAAACGTCCTACCCGCTGTACTATTGCTCCAGCCCTCTGCGAGGGGATTTTAAAGAACCAATAGCCTCTTGACCAGAAAATCAGGGCTAGCCTCTCAGAGAGTTCTGGGTCCAGCTGAGGCCGCAGGGAAGCAATTCCGAGCTGAGTGCCTGGCGAGAGTCCTGGCTGCTGACAGCGCCAAGTTTTAGTAGTTGTTTTGTTGTTCTGGAGGGGGTGAGGGGGGTGAGTCTGGACCACACCCAGCTGTGCTCAGGGCTTCCTGCTGACTCTATGCTCAGGGCACCCTATGGAGTACCAGGGTTCCAACGAGGGTCAGGGGAACGCCTTACACCTATCCTACCTCTCAGGCCCAGAGAGGAAATTTCTTTGTTTTTTGCTTTTTGGGTCACATCCAGAGAAATTCAGAGGTTACTCCTGGCTCTGCACTCACAAATCACTCCTGGTGGTGCTTGGGAGACCATATGGGATGCTGAGGACTGAACCCGGGTCGGCTGCGTAGAAGACAAACGCCCTCCCTGCTGTGCTATCGCTCCGGCCCCCGCAGAGAGGAACATTCTTAAGGTCTTCACCGAGCTCGGCAGACTGGAACTGGCCAGGGTGGCCTCCCAAGCCGTTCCTGCACTCGTCTGCTCTGAGAAGGCCACTGCAGACTGCTGTCACCCCATGTGGGCTGTCTCACCACTCCTGTGAGAAATTCCCCGCACGGAATCACCAGGTCAAATGGCACTGCAGTTCTGCAGGCTGCCCCACGTGCTTCTGGGCTGCTCTCCACAAGGCGGCCCTACAATGGTACCTCACTGGGGCTGGAGCGATAGTACAGCGGGTAGGGCATTTGCCTTGCACGCGGCCGATCCGAGTTCGATTCCTCCATCCCTCTGGGAGAGCCCAGCAAGCTACCGAGAGCATCCCGCCCACACGGCAGAGCCTGGCAAGCTCCCCGTGGTGTATTCGATATGCCAAACACAGTAACAAGAAGTCTCACAAGGGAGATGTTACTGGTGCCCGCCGGAGTAAATCGATGAACAAGGGGAGGACCTCACTAGGATGTTACTAGTATTTCTGTGATCAGGGTCAGATTGAAGACCAGTTTTCCTTTACTCTTTTTAAATGTAGGAATGCTGCTATTCGTTCAGCCATTGATTAAGCCGATTGAATTGGCATGAACTCCACCATGAGATACAGTCACTCAGTTTTCGTGTTTGAGATTCAGCCATACAGTGATGGAGCACCCAGCCCTCCACCAGCTGCTCACTTTCCACCAACAGAACACGAGTTTTTCTGATGTATCTTGGGCCTATCAAATTATCAATCATCATGTGTTGGCAAGGTATTCCCTAGACTAAGGCACTTTTTCATTTTTTTTTCTGCTTTTTTTTTGGGTCACACCTGGCGATGTACAGGGGTTCCTCCTGGCTCTGCACTCAGGAGTCACTCCTGGCGGTGCTCAGGGGGACCCTATGGGATGCTGGAAATAGAACCCGGGTCGGCCGTGTGCAAGGCAAACGCCCGACCCGCTGTGCTATCTCTCCAGCCCCGACTAAGGCACTTTAAAAATATTTTTCAGTGTTTTTTTTTTTTTGGAGGGGTTGTGGGGGCCACATCGGGCAGTGATAAGGATTTACTCCCGGCTCCACAATACTGGTGGGGCTTGCGGGACCGTGTGTGGTGCTGGGGACAAGTGGCCTCCCCACAGGACTATCTCGCCAGCCCCGAAAGGAAAACTCTGATAGTCTTGAAACTGGAAGACGTCTTCTGACTAACATGACTAGGCATCAGTACACATGTTCCTTCCTTAAACAGTTAACTGAGAGGATCATCAAGATGGTACAGGGGAGTTAAGGTTTGCGCCTTGCGCACAGCTGACGCCAGGCCAGGATAGAACCCTGAGGAAACCCCCAGTTCCCGGCCCAAACATAACAACAAAAGTAATAATAATCGTCAGTAAATGAAAGTTGTTATCAATCCTTTTTTTTTTCCTTTTTGGGTCACACACGGTGATGCTCAGGGTTCCTCCTAGCTCTGCACTCAGGAATCATTCCTGGCGGGGCTTGGGGGACCCTATGGGACACCGGGGACTGAACGCGGATGAACTGCGTGTTAAGGCAAACGCCCTACCCGCTGTGCCATCCCTCTGGCCCTCTAATTGGTTTTTAAATTGTTATTGATGGAGCTGTTTCTTTTGGGGTGCTGGGGACTGAACCCAGAGTCCTGCACGCCAGCTCTGAGCTCTCCTGCTTCCTGCACGCAAGCTCGGTGCTTTTCTGCTGAGTCACAGGCCCAGGCCCTGTCGTGAAACCGCACCAGGGCTAAGGGAGGGAGCTCGCGGGGCTGGAGCGCAGATTTGCCTGGCTGACCCACCCACCAGGACACCCTCAGCACAACGGGCTAAGTGACCCCACACCCCCAGGCCCAGGCCTTGAGGGGTCTGGGCCAGTGGAGGGAGAATCCCCAGGAAGTCCCACCCCCTCCAATACCCGCCCCCTCAATGAACCACACATCTTTTTTTCTTTTTTTGGGGGGGTGGGGGGGGTCACACCCAGTGATGCTCAGGGTTCTTCCTGGTTCTGCGCTCAGGGAATTAGTTCTGGCGGCGCTCAGGGAGTAATGGGATGCTGGATATTACACCCAGGTCAGCCGAGAGCAAGAAAAACGCCCTCCCCGTTGGACCATCGCTCCGGCCCAAACCACACATCTCTGACATGAAAGCTCTCCAACCTGTTGGGCCCCTCACGTTTTCCCCCTACGAGCCTCCGCTTGATTCCTGACGGCCTCCCTTCCCGCATGGGGGTGCTGCCCTGCCGTGACAGGCCCCGGGAGGTACCTTTCAGGAGGTGCAGCAGCGTCAGGGACAGGTACTGCTGGGCCGGCGGCTCCGTCTGGTCCCGGCTGTACTGGGTGGTGAACTCCTCCAGCCACTTGACGAAGGCGGGGCAGGCGGACAGGCCTTGCAGGAGGGAGTTCATGAAGCAGGTGTTCCCCAGGTTCACGAGGCCGGGCACCAGCCCTGCAGGGGGGTCAGCGCGGCACACACGTCAGAAGGAGCGTCTTTCCTCTCCCACCGGGGCCCGGGTGGGGGTTCTGAGCCAGGGTCCTGGATTCGAAATCTCAGAGCGAAAGGACCTTCAGCTCAGACACCTTGGGCCCAGCTCTCTGGCTGCTTCCGGCGCTACCCCCAAGTGACATAAAAGCGCCCCCCGAGGGGGAAACTTCTGAAACCCATCCCCAGCATGGAGCTTGGCGTGAGTGGGCGGGAACGCTCACTCCCTCACTCCCGCCTCACCCTCTGATAAGCGAGCACTGTTCCCCAGAGCAGGAGGACAATGACTGTGTGTGTCCCCAACAATGCTTGTGTTCTCATGCGCAGAGGAAAGACGCCCTCCAGAGACGCTCGGGTCAGTCTTTCTTTCCGCCCTTTCTTTTTCCTTTTCTTGGTGTTTGGGCCGCAGCCCGAGACACTCGGGGCTTACTCCTGGCTCTGCGCTCCTGGTAGGGCTCGGGGGGCCTTATGGGCGGCCGGGGATGGAACCCGGATGAGGGGCGAGCGCCCTCTCCACTGTACTACCACTCCGGCCCCTGAGGAACGGCTTTCAACGCTTGATGAAAAAGCTCCCAAACGCACAGAAAAGAGAAGCTACGTAATGACCCCGCCCCCCCACCCCACCCCGAAATCATAACCACCCCCAGCTTTAACAATGATCAGCATTTGGCTACATCTACTCCCCGCTTTTTGCTTTCATTGAATTTTACTGAAGTAGAGAGCATTTACAGAAGGGTTTTTTTTTTTCCAGATAAAGAAAAGAGATTTTTGTGCTAACAAAGAAACCTTTACTAATAACCAACAGCAGGGTGGGCAAACCAGGCCTGTGATCTGTAATTAGCCACCCCTGGGAGCCATACAACGGTCAGAATGCTTAAGGGCCATGTAGCCGGGGGGAACCTTTCATTACAGAGCCAGTCTCAGATTTAAGACTTCGAAGGGCAACACACTGATGTTTTAATACTATGGGGTGGAAAAAAAGTGAGTCATTAAAATGATCCTGTTTGGAACGAAAGTAGTGCTTCAGAAACTAAAGTTAGAAAACAGACACCCCCTCACAACCCCATGCAAAAAAAAAACCCAAACCCTCTCCCCCTGTCCGGGGCTCTCTGGGGATGACAAGAGTCAGGGTCACAGCTCACATCAGCACCCAACGGCCTCATCCTTACCTTTTCGGCGTTTCTTCCGTTCTGTAATGGGACCCCAAATGACATAGATCCCGGCGGCCAGGGCAGCAGCGAGTCCCCCGATGACGCCCCAATTCTTCATGACTTTGTACCTGAAACAGAAAGTCAGCTTTCTGCCACCTTCTCATCACAAGGGCACAGGACATGGACGTGAGCCGCCGTTGAGATGGCAGGCTGGCCCACCAAGCGCCTGGCGTTCGGCTAAAACAGCGTGTGGCAACAGGACCGTCCTGATGCTCACCAGGGTCAGGTACCACGGTTGCAACAGCCGAAGTTTGTAGCATGGATGTGGTTACCACACCCACGGCCCCGCCGCCCCTCCCCCCAGCGTTCGGTTATAAATGTTGTGACCCAAGGCCAAGGGGTTGTTGTCACTCTTCAACACTGTCTGTTCCCTTTTCTCTCTCCACCCCGCAGCTGGGGGAATCTGCCCAGTGTTCTTTTGGGGGGAGACCTCCCAAGTGGGCTCAAGAGGCACGGGGGTCCCCTCCCAGTAAGCCTCCCTCAGGCCACCCCAGAAGTGTCAGGGGCCACATGCGGCAGGGCTCTGGAGGCCCATGGGCAGTGCCAGGGGTCGAACCGGGATCAAAGGCACGCAAGGCAAACGCCTTCGCCATCCCAGTGCTAGCTCTCTGGCGCCAGGATCGGGACTCAGAAAAGCAGCCGAGTCTCGGCATAGTCAGGCCCGGGGGCAGCCCTCGGAAGCTTGGAGTGCGGCTCCCTGCATCCCAGAACACTCCCGCACTGACCTCCAAACCCAAGCCACCGAGTCCCGCACCCTCAACGCGCAGAGACTGCCGCTTCCCTCAGCAGACACAAACGCCTGGACCTCATCTGTCCCATCGCCCCATGCCCTGAGTGTCCCATCAGGCCCAGGGCAGCTTCTCAATGGACTGTAAGCCTAGTCTCAATGGACTTAGAGAAACGCACTGATTTTTTTCCAGGACAGACAGAGGTTGGGGGGCGGGGGGGCGGGGTTTGGTGGCTGGAAAGGTCTAAATATCCCGAAAGATCTCTTCACTTCAGGCCCGACGGACACTGCCGTTTTCTTTCACTGCCCGTGAGCAACTGCACCAGCAAATTAAGAACTCTCCTTTAAGACATTAACCACGCAGTTCTCCAAGTCCACCGAAGAAGGCGAAACGGGTCGGCTGCGTCCGGTACACGCGTGTCCTACGTGTGCACGGTGAGCAGCCTTTATTCCGGCCTGGGGATCGCGAGAACATCGGGGCTCTTGCCACACGAACAATTTCCTGGAGTCGGTCAGAACTGGGGCCTCAAGTCCCAACAGATCTGTCCAGGGTCACAGTCCGCAGAGCGGAAGCACAGGTGCCTGGCTCAGTCGCTCCAGCATCATTAAATCTCAGTTCCTATCATTATTCTACTGTGCCCTGTTGGACTGCTGAGTTATACTCTCTGCCTGTCTGTCTGTCTCTCTCCCTCTCACGCAGGGCTTACCCCTGCCTCTGCACTCAGGGATCACTCCTGGCAGGCCAGGTGGACCCTATGGGGTGCTGGGGGCGAAGCCTGTGTCGGCAGCACGCGAGGCCAGCGGCCCACCTGCTGTCCTATTTTTCCAGCTCGCCTTTCCTCCTCTTCTGGTGCCAAGGCCAAAGCCGAAACTCAGGACCTCACACAAAACAGGGAAGGCCCAACCTCGAAGCCACACCCAACTGGCGCTATCCTCGGGGACGGAGGCTGCTGGGTGTCTCCCTCGGGGCTACTTCCAGCAGTTTTCCGCCAGCCTTGCAGGGGGATGAGCGTGAGGGACCCTCACTCCCCCGAGCAGCTCAGGTCTTGGAGTCCCGGGGACCACCCGGGCGACGACTGACAGTGCTGGCCCTCTCCGGGGTCCCAGCTAGCACCGCTGAGGGTTGGGGGGAGGGAGTCACACGGCACAGAGGACAGAAACGGGGTCGACGCACGCCAAGCAGAGGCCCGTTATCCTTAAGCCCCCTCCCCACTCCCCAAGGCCTGTTCTTGAAGCTTCTGCGGTGCACCTCTGGCTCCCAGAGCACGCCGGGAAGGCTGGAAAGGCTCCTGGCTCCCAAGTCAGCGGTCTACGGTCTGGAAGCCCCACCACAAGCGGCTGGAAAGGCCCTGCCAGCTGCCTCTCCCAGCCGGCAGTCCAGGAGGGCGAGTTCTGCTCTCCTGCCCAGTTCCGGGGATTGGGAAACCCAGAGACAGGCCAGCTTGGTCAAAGTACCAGCAGCGCCCGCCCGCCCGCCTGCCTTGCACCACCGAGCTCCCAAGGGACACGGAGAGGCAGAGAAGTGCCAGGTTCTGAGAGGGTCCTGCGCGGAACCCGGGGTGCTGGGGGGGCTGCCGCCAACCCCGGTCCCCAGCAGAGCATTCCCACGGGAGCCCCGTGGGGAGAGGGGGCTGCGGGGAGCCCCGCTTCTCCTGCCCCCTGCGCACCCTTCACCCCGCACCCACAGCCACCCGCGGCTCCCGGCCTTGGGAAAACACTCTAGAATGTTCTAGTCCCAGAGGCAGGCCGCACCAGAAGCGATAGGCCAGGCGTTCAGGGTCAGTCACCGAGAGGCTCAGTCAGCCGGGCATAGGGGGGCAGGGGGAGGGACCGGCCAGCTGGAGGAATGGGGGGCGGGGGGCCTCTCAGACCCCAGGGTCCTTGCTGGGATGGGGGCCTTTGTAAGAGGAGCCAGTAAGGAGACCGGGCCGCATGCAGGGGGTGGGGGTGGGGGTCCGGGCCACGGGGGGTGGGGGGTGGCAGGAAGAGGGGGTACTGACAAAATGGGGTGCATGGGGTGGGGCTAAAAAAATCTCTGACCACTCAGAAGGCTGAGAACCCCGGCAGGATTCGGGGGAGACCCCGAGAGGTCAGGGTCTCACCTGCCTGGGCGCCCCCCAAAGAATCGGGGGAGGGGGCACCCTGCAGGAGCTCGGGGGTCCTGGAAGGCCCGCCGGGTCCGGGAGGCGGGGGTGGGGGCGCAGAGGGAGAAGTCGGGCCCTGGGCGCGCCCGGGGGTCGCTGCACGAGCCAGGGGCGACAGCGCGGGGGGCGCGGGGGGCGCCGCCCCGGACCCGCAGGGCCCCAGATGCCCCCGGCCAGCCCGGGGGGTCCCGGCCCCGGCCGCCCGCGCCCGCTCACCTGACGGCCGCGCCGGCGCGCACCAGGCGCTGCAGGGCCCGGTCGGCCGCGCTCGGCAGCATCGCGGCCGCCGCTCCCGCCGCTCCCGCCGCTCGGGCGCTGCACCCGGTCGGGCCCGGGCGGAGGAACCGCGGCCCCAGCCCGGCTCCGAGGGACCGACGCGGGCCCGGCCCGGCCCGGAAGCGCGCCCCGCCGGAGCTCGGAGGCGCCGGACCGGCGCGCGGCCGCTTCCTCCTGCTCCCCGGCGACGCGCCGGTTGCCAGGGCGCCCCCGGCCCGCGCCCAGCCTGGTTTGGGGGCGGGGAGGGGCCACGCCCGGCGCGGTGCTCTGGGGCTCCTCCCGGCTCGCACTCAGGGGCTATCCTGCAGTGCTCAGGGGACCTTAGGGGACGCTGGGAGTCGAACCCAGGTCAGCCGCGTGCAAGGCAGAGGCCTCCCCACGGGACAATCGCTGCTCCAGCCAAGAGAGGGCGAGTCCTTTTTATTTTAAGAATTTATTTCTTGGGGCTGGAGAGAGAGCACAGCGGGGAGGGCGTTTGCCTTGCACCTGGCTGACCGGGGTTCGATTCCCAGCATCCCATAGGGACCCCTGAGCACCGCCAGGGATAATTCCTGAGTGCAGAGCCAGGGGGAACCCCTGTGCATCGCCGGGTGTGACCCAAAAGGCAAAAAAATAATAATAATTTATTTCTTGGGGCTGGAGAGATAGCCACAGCAGGTAGGGCGTTTGCCTTGCACGCAGCCAACCCGGGTTCAATTCCCAGCATCCCCTAGGGTCCCCCGAGCACCGCCAGGAGTAACTCCTGAGTGCAGAGCCAGGAGGAACCCCTGTGCATCGCCGGGTGTGACCCAAAAGGCAAAAAAATAATAATAATTTATTTCTTGGGGCTGGAGAGATAGCCACAGCAGGTAGGGCGTTTGCCTTGCACGCAGCCAACCCGGGTTCAATTCCCAGCATCCCCTAGGGTCCCCCGAGCACCGCCAGGAGTAACTCCTGAGTGCAGAGCCAGGAGGAACCCCTGTGCATCGCCGGGTGTGACCCAAAAGGCAAAAAAATAATAATAATTTATTTCTTGGGGCTGGAGAGATAGCCACAGCAGGTAGGGCGTTTGCCTTGCACGCAGCCAACCCGGGTTCAATTCCCAGCATCCCCTAGGGTCCCCCGAGCACCGCCAGGAGTAACTCCTGAGTGCAGAGCCAGGAGGAACCCCTGTGCATCGCCGGGTGTGACCCAAAAGGCAAAAAAATAATAATAATTTATTTCTTGGGGCTGGAGAGATAGCCACAGCAGGTAGGGCGTTTGCCTTGCACGCAGCCAACCCGGGTTCAATTCCCAGCATCCCCTAGGGTCCCCCGAGCACCGCCAGGAGTAACTCCTGAGTGCAGAGCCAGGAGGAACCCCTGTGCATCGCCGGGTGTGACCCAAAAGGCAAAAAAATAATAATAATTTATTTCTTGGGGCTGGAGAGATAGCCACAGCAGGTAGGGCGTTTGCCTTGCACGCAGCCAACCCGGGTTCAATTCCCAGCATCCCCTAGGGTCCCCCGAGCACCGCCAGGAGTATTCCTGAGTGTAGAGCCAGGAGGAACCCCTGTGCATCACTGGGTGTGACCCAAAAAGCAAAAAAAAAAAAGAGAGAGAAAGAATTTATTTCTTTACTTATTTTAAGTTTTGGGGTCACACCTGGCAATGCCCAGGGGGATTCAGGGTCTGTTCCTTACTCTGGAACTCAGGGCATGGAGCCGTGGCAGCAGTGCGCACTCATCCACTGCAAGGTGCTGTCAGCCAACCACCGGGTGACCTAGAACTCGGGGCAGGTGTTCCACCTGGCACAGACCCTCTGCGATGGGGTCCTGCTCTTCCAGCAGCTCAACAACCTCCGGGCACACTCCATCAACCTCAAGGAGATCAACCTGAGGCCGCAAATGTCCCAGGTGCTGCCCAGAGGCCAGACAAATGCTTGCTTTTCAGCGGGCAGGTCGTTACAACATGCCAGTCGACCAAAAGCTTGCATACGGTAGGTTGGGAACACCTGTAAAAACGATTAGAGGCCGCCTCAAAAAGCAAGCCTCCGTCCCTCTCGGAGAGCCTGGCAAGCTGCCAAGAGTATCCCACCTGCACGGCAGAGCCCGGCAAGCTACCTCTGGCATATTCAATATGCCAAAAACAGTAACAGTAATGGGTCTCATCTCCTTGACCCTGAAAGAGCCACCAATATGCCATCGGGCTACACTATCACGCAACAGGGACGAATGGAGACGTTAGTGGCACCCGCTCGAGCAACTCGATGAACAACGGGATGACAAGTGATCAAGCGGATCAGGGGACCATATGGGATGCTGGGGATCGAACCTGGGTTGGGCACATGCAAGGCAAGTACCTTACCTATCGCTCCAGCCCGGGTCCAGAGTCTTTTTACTGCAACGCTGTGCAGAGGGAAACTCCCACCTGAAAACAGGATCAAGCCGTGGTGATACTGTGTTATCATTGTTTTTGTTTTAATTTACATCCCTGTGAGTGTGAACATTTGTAATTATTGTCACCGGAGGAAGACTGGTAACCCAGGCCTGGAGAAAAGGCTCAGGACTGGTGCGCAGGTTCCCGCGGATGTGGTCCCCCAAAAACCCAAACCAAAGAGGAGTAGAATTGCCCGTCTCTGCTACTGTCGATAGAGAAGAAACCCAGCCAGACCTCTAATACTGTAAAGGTATACAGACACACTCGGGTGCTTTGCTAAGTACGTCAGATGCATTCATTCACCTTCCAACTTCTGCACCAACTCGTGACTTGACCCACGCTTCACAAACCAGGAAACACAAGAAATTAAGAGGAGTCTGTAGACATGGCATGTGAAGTGCTAGAAAGGAGAACACCCAGCTCTGTCCAGAACTGTAGCTCACACAGAACTCCGACCTTGCATGGGTGAGTTCCTCAGTCACCAAAGAAAGAAAAAAAAGAGCTAGAAGAAAAGATAGGCAGTAGGGACTATTTATCTCCAGAGTAGCTGTGTAGCCACAATTTACTAGTAAAAGGCTGGAGAGAGAGAGTTACAGGGTTCAGGTATTTGTTTTTGCATAAGGTTGTTCCGGTTCCATCCCAAACACCACATATGGTCCCCTGAGCCCCCACAAAATATTTAAGTAAAAACTGAAATTGAAGTCAAACCAAGTTTAACAATGTCTTTGGCTCACCCTGATAGGCCCCCAAGTACTGTCAGTTTTTGCCAGTGGGGTGAATTCCCGGGAGATCGGAACTGGTAATGCTTGCACGACCTGTGTCTGGCCCACCTCACTAGGCAACTGAGACTCGCTTGATGGGCCTAGCCTCTGAACCAACACCTGAATTTCCTGAGAGTGTGGTTCTCAGGCCAGACAAACCTGTGCTCTTGGCGAGAAAAGAAATCCTAGTCTCCATTCAGCTCTTTCTTAGGTTCAGTGTCTTTGCTTGCAGCAAGGAATTTCTGGAGAAGATGAAGAGTGATGGAAATAGTTTCAGTTCAGAAATACGATAGGGAAAAAAGAGAGGAGTTCAGTAGAGGAAAGTTTTGGGGCTATATGGGTCTTCAGAATGGAATGTGCAAAGTAAAAGGATGAAAATTCACACACACACACACACACACACAAACCAAGTTGGATTGTGGATGCTGTGCCCGGGGGGTTGCTTTGCGATGCTGATTATATAGACCTCCAAGGTCAAAATAAACTACAGCAGTCTAGTAGAAAGAACAGGTCAAACAGAGAAATGGAGAAAGCATGTTATTGTAAAAGTTAGAGAACAAGGTAACTAGAAATGAATCCTAGACTTACATTAAGACTCTTTTCTCTCTTTTTTTTCTTTTTTTAATCCCCCCCCCCCCCCTTTTGAGGAGGGCCAACCACAGCAGCAGTTCTCAGGAGCTGGTCCTGGTTCTGTGCTTGGGGGACTGTGAGGTGCCACTGATTAAGCCTGGGTTTCCCACATGTAAGACATGAACTTGACTCTTTGTTTTTTTTTTTTTTTCTTTTTGGGTCACACCCAGCGATGCTCAGGGATCATTCCTGGCTCTGCACTCAGGAATCACTCCTGGTGGTGCTTGGGGGACCATATGGGATGCCGGGGATCGAACCCAGGTTGGCTGCGTGCAAGGCAAACGCCCTCCCCGCTGTGCTCTCGCTCCGGCCCGAACTTGACTCTTTGAAGGTTTCCCCCGGCCCTATAAAACTTCGAGGGAAAAAAAAACTTGGGCAAAACAAGAGAATCCTTAAACAAGTCACAAAAACACACAAAGCACAAACAACTTGATAAAGAGAATTCAAGTAGGTGTCCTGAATGGCTCTGCCAGTGATACAGTAGGGCTTTCAGGGAAGAGTGGGAGAGAGAAAGAGGAGAAAGAGAGGAAGAGGGAGATAGAGGAGAGAGAGAAAGAGAGGAGAGGGGAGAGAGAGAGAGGGAGAGAAAGAGAGCAGTCAGTCATCCAGCCTGACCCAGCTGGGTCTCCCCAGGGAAGCATCTAGGAGCGAAATTCTTCACGAGAACCTGGACTGTGTGATCCCCACTAGATTCTCATCAGGGCTCCCCTTGATCTACACAGAACTGGAACTGGACACCGCCACCTGAGTTTGTGAGGGACCTGTGACCCAGTTCAGAGTCCACCCTTAAAGAAAAGAATTCCAGGAGGGCTGCAGAGCTGGCTCAGTCCACGCACATGACGGGCCTGCAGGACGGCTGGCTTGAGTCTGGCTTGCGTGATTCCCCCAGTCCAGAGCTGGAAGTAGCCTCTGAACACTAATGGGCATTTCCTTACCAAAATTAAATAAAAGAATTTGGGGGCCGGAGCAGTAGGACAGAGGGGAGGGCACTTGCCTTGCATGCAGCCAACCTGGGTTCAAGACCCAGCATCTCATATGGTCCCCTGAGCCTGCCAGGAGTAATTCATGAGCACGGAGCCAGGAGTAACCCCTGAAAACTGCGGGGATGGCCCAAAACTCAAAAAATAATCATATATAAAGGGCAAAAAGAATTTCAAGGGGAGAAGAATAGTGAAATACAAAGTTTTAATTATAGATTATGAAGAAGGAAACAGAGTTTAACTCACTAACACAGGCTTCTCCAGAAGGGAGACAGT